ACACTATCAATATACGCTTCTTGGAACTTTCCTTCAAGGTCTGCCTCCATATAATCGTGCTGAACCAACTCGTCATCCGCACGCACCAATTTTCGATGGTTCTCTCGGAACTCCGTGCGAATATTGGCCAGAGATTCTAATCTAGTCTCCATATGTGCTTCCGACTTATTAGTGCCAGCTTTCCGAAAGTTCTCTAACATGCGGCGTACAGAATCAATCAAAGCTGATTGCTCCGCAATTAATTCCTCAAATGTCTCAGCCATGACCTTGACCCTCTTTCTCACAACAAACACAGTGCACTAACCTTCTACAATAACCTCTTCGCGCTCCAGCGTAGTCCAAGTAGTGACCCACAGATATGCCACTCAGTCCAAGAGAAGTCTTCCCGGGTTTCGGCACCAAAATGTGTTGGCTGTGGCTGCGTACCGACGGAGCCCCAATCTTCAGCAAAATATGATGCGGCGCACAGAGTGATTGTCCACCTGTGGCGGCGTTAGAAGTTCCTCGGAGTAGCGGTCTGTTGCCCAGGGTCCCAAATAAGAAGACGAAAGGTTCCAAAAATGTGCGTTGGATTTAATTAGGTTATGTAAAAAAGTATAAAAGATAAGAGCACAGAGGGTGCTTCTGAATGTATTGACTCTCGCTCGCAGACTAAATTGTCGGTTTTACATTTCATTTACCGAAGCTGCAGCTCTCCAAATTATGTATGTACAGATGAACAACTTAACTGTGATATGGTTCGATCTTTCGAACAAGACTACGAATAAAGGGCAAAGAAGAATGTCTGTAACTAGAGAGCTTACAGTGTGACGTCAGTTACACTGCAAGTTCTCGTGTTGACAATATGCAGTCCAAACACAAGCAGTGCAAGCAGTCGTTGTGCTGCATGCATATCTCCATCTCCTTTGCACTTCCTTTAGCTGAATAACGGGTATCTCATAGTTGTTTTATTTCAGTTTTTTTTGTTTAAGTGTATCACATGCACATGCGAAATTTCATTTCCGCTTCTCGTTTGTCGTCTTGTCATTTTTGCCAGGACGTGTTTGCAACGCTTTGCGTTCGAGAGGAGGTTGCATTGGAAAAAAGCGTAGAGAGAGTATAACAATTTGCCACAGCTTCAGTTTGATAATCATTTAACACTTTTCCGTATATTTCTCGCTCTAGATAAAAGTAAAAACGAAGCGCAGTCGCCCAATGCATACCAATGAGCGGAGGAGCCCGGGAGTCACGTAGCCAGAAGAATAAAAGGAGGCGAGCCGAAAAGGACCTCATCCCTCAAAAGCGAAGCCGAGGAAGAGCGGCGGTGGCTCCTAATTAAGACAGGCCTGGTCTGGTTCGGTCTGGATGGTCTGGTTGGTCGGATGTTCTGGGCCAAAATTAATGGAACCCACGAGTGGCGGAGCGTTTTCGGTGTTCACACAAATTAAATTCCATCAAGTTTATTTGCTGTAAATGAGAGGCAGTGTGGAAGCAGAAGGAGTGGAAGTGCTGGCCCTAATTTAATTTCCCCAACCCCCAAAAAACCCTTTGTGCCCCTAGTACGTGTTGCCATGCTACCATTTACCACTTAGAAGCGAAGGAATAGGCCTACAGACACCTACACTTGAACATACAGATGCTAAATCAGATTCGTTCGATTTATATTCGTTAGATTTTCCATGTAAATAGTCATTATAATTATTATTGTGGTCTACGCTTGCCATTGCCTCGAGCAATGTCAGCGATAAAGCTTGAAAAAAAGTAAAACCACAAAATTGTAAACATAAAACTAATATTTATTACAAAATTTCATATTTGTGCATCTCGCAAATGCTATGATTAAACAAAAAGAATTAAAAGAAATGAAATGAGAAGAACGAGCAGAGGGCAAATCTATTAATTAGTAATTATTATAATGTGATGTTATATATATAAATCAATCGATAAACAAGAAACCTAAAGCAAATTAAACGGAAAAACAAATGAAATATACAAAACTGTTAACCAACGTAACAAATTTCACTAAGTAGATTTTTCGAATTAAATTTAAATTATAATAATTAAAAGAAAAGTATAGCAAGAAAAAAGAGAAAAACAAAAAGCATTGCTGTATACACGAGATAAAACTGCGTTTTTCTACTAAAAATGAATATGTAAAATGATTTTTCCGACTTAGATTACCCCCTTATACCTAATTATATAAAAACAAATTATAAATATATAAATTACAAATTCTATGTAAATGTTGTGCGTATATAAAAGCAAAAGCAAAGTAGAACCCCACATTTCGAGATCTTTCAGTTATTTATTATGTGTGTGCTATATCTTCATCTTTGTAACCATAAAAAGAGCGCTTGGCTTTGTCTAGAAAACATTTTGGGCCTTAAACCAACCTACTCAAGCCTGGGCCTTGGTGTTCCTCTTAATACCCAGCATTCTTCAGATTCAGATCAATATATCTATCTATATACCCCTGGGGAGGGGGGCTACCCACACACTATGGTTAATAGTTATTCTATATCTACGTGAATGTGTTCGATTCTAAACTTGTATAAAAGCACGCACCCCTCTCCGCTCAAACACGAAATGTTTGTAAAATATTGACAGAGAGAGAAAACGATGGAAGATACGAAATTAACTTATAATATATTAACTATTTCCGGGACTAAAGGAAGAAAACATTTTAGTTTTTCTACTTGAATCGCATTTCTTCCACTTTTCACCAATCAAATCAAATTTAAATGAGAAAGTTTAATACAAAGAATTGAATTTTGAGTCTCTTCAATCCTCAAGCTCAAAACGAACCCCAAGAAAAATTAAAAATCTAGAATTAATGAAGTTTCTAGGTTCTATTATTTAGTTATCTTGTTATTTATATGTTTAGCTTTAGTTTTTGTCTAATTTATTTCTAAGTTTTGGCTCCGCAATAAATACAGACAATTATATATATTTTTTCTATAATTTGTTTCATTTTATCATTTCTGATTCGTGGACGAATGATACAAAAAGCAAAACCAAAAAAATATAAAAAAATGGATAACAAATGAATTGCTAAATTTAAGCGCAAAAGTTCAATTAATAAAAATTAGAATTTTAATATTAACATAATTTGGACTATTTATATATACATACGCATATATATACAACTCTATATATGAATAATTAGTAACAAATCAAATCAATTTCCATAACGACCGGCAGAAAATAAAAACCAAAAAATATATATATATTCTTAGTGACGAGTGCAACAACAAACACTCGTGCAATTGTACTTTAAAATTGAATAAAATTCAAAAAGAAAAAAAACAATGAACAGTGAAGATGGATAAGGAACGAGTGGAATGGTATGAGGCGTCCAATGCAACCCTGATTTGCGTAGGGTTGCCACCGTCAACTTGCAGGCAGCCTTTAGAAAAGAGGACAGCAACCGTCGAAACACAAGCAGACTCACCCACACACAAGGCTTGAGATCAAGAGAGAGCGAAAGGGACAGACAGAAGTAGCTTATAGCTTCAGCCAGGTGTAGAATTGATTGATGATTATTTTTGGTGGATGTGTCGTGCATTGGGAGCAGCAATTGCAACAATAATTCCAGGCATATCGAAGCATTTTTACTCAGCACTCAGAGACGACAGCAATCAGCGAAATCGGCAACCAAAACTGATGGCAATAACAAGCAAAAGATAACCAATTCGGGATCAGAGAGCGAAGACGATGACAAACAGGATGAAGACAGAATACCATACACACAAACACAATCACAATAAAGGACGAACGCGAACAAATAATACTTAACGGGATTCACATATGTATATTCAAGAAGCAATAATGAAAGTATATTTCCAAGTACGATAAATGATAAAATGATAAAACAACCCAAAGAAAGTCAAGAACTAACATGGATAAATATTTATACATATATTTTAATTATAGTTACAAATTAGCATATATATAATTATACATACATACAAACATATATACCGAAGATAGTCCAAATAATTTAGCAAAAGGAATGAAAACCAAACGAAGTAAACTTTAATATTTACAAAATATTAAAATATCAATGTGCAATTTAACAAGCGTTTAAAACACCACACTGACACAGCCACACAAAATTAATGCTACACCTATATATACACACATATGTAAACCGATTATAAACATTATATATGCGTATATAACAGCAAGTCGATACGAAATAAAGATCCATTTAAAAGCGAGAGAAGGCGAGCGACAAACTTTAGTGGCGAGAAAACAATTTAGTTTTGTGTGCACACACCACAGTAAAACCTACTTAAAAGGAAATCAAAATTCAACTAACAAAACAAAACCACACGAAACGAAGCCGTGCTAAAAAGCTACAAAAAGCGGTTCAAGTCAAGTTTTTGAGCAAATACTCATAATTGTTAAACATGTTTAAATAATATAATAACAAAAGCAAAAAAAAAACAAAAAACAAATTAAAAACAAACAAAAATCCGTAACAAAAACAAATTGCATATTATCATATATTTTCTCTCTCCTTAGACAATTTAGTTAATTATGAAAAGTAATGAAAAACAAACATTATAATTAAGTGTTAGTCTTATATATAAATAAATATATGATTAATAATTAATGAAAAAGATAAAAGCCGAAAAAGATAAAAATCATGGAACAGCAGCCGACGAAACAGCAAAAAAAGTGAGAACAAATTAAAATAAAAATAAAAACCAGCAAAGAAACCAAATCGAAATGAGAAAAACAAAACTTAAATTAAGATATTAGATTTGCCTTTGTGTTAATATCAAGTGTGTTTCTTATTACCATTATTATTATAATTTGTTCATTTCCAATTGGTCAGACGTGTGAAATGATTTCCTTACATATTGATTGAGAAATAAAAATTATTAAACAAAAAAGCAACAAAATGTGTTTTAATTTGACTATTTAAAAAGGAGTGTCCCTCGATACAGCATGGTTTCCCTGGCTCAATAGCTATATTATTTTTCTTTAATACTCATAATTCATTTCGCCTGCAGGAGGATAGCTTATCAGTATGGAACCGGACTGCCACTGATATGACCAGTACAACACGTATCCGTGATACGTTACGCAGGATATTAAATATACCTCTAACAACGGCAATGGAGTATAAGATACACTGTGATAGCCTTAAATATGTTTCAATGTAAGTATGGATATCGAAGATTAAGATCTTAAGAGTATAGTATTAAAAAAAGTAACAAGTTTATTTGAAATACCTTCCGCACATCTTAAATCCAAATATTTATTACATTTTGTAGTATATCCTAGTAAATCCTTATCCTTACTAATCCAAACCCTACCTACCTGTTCAATACGCAGGCCCAGGCGTCGAAATCGAAGGCTGGGGAATCTGTTTAATAAAAATCGATACTCATTTAATTCAAGATACGGAAGATCATAGCTAAAAGTCTTTGATGATCAAGTCATTTGTGATTTTGGAAATGTTTATGGTTTAAGAAGGGACGTGCATAGAAAATCCACTAATTTAAAATATTCTTCTCTTATTTTACAGTAATAAAGGCCCATTGAAAAGCTGAAATTCAGTGAATAACTATAAACAAAAGAAAAACAAAAACAATAATTACACAAACAGATAATATAAGTCGCTAGTGAAAGGAGCAGCAACAGTCACAAGTTCATCGACAGCACAGACAGGAGGAACACCAACAGTAAGCACAAGGAACCATCGAGGAAAGACCAGAACATCAGAACATTAGAACACCATCGGAATCGAACCCACAAACCAGGAGATCCCGAACATCAAATCCATAGAAAGGCAAATTAATATTTAAGCGCTAATGAGACAAATCTTTGTATTTTAAACGAGTTTACAAAGTGTGTGTATATATGAAACGCCATAAATATTTTAGTTTGTATGTATAAAGTTTATACTAGGCATTCCCTATTCCCAATTAAAGAAAATCAAAGTCCCCCTAACAACTGCCTCTCCAGTCTGGCCATCTATCCCATCTTAGTTTATTTTCTATTAATCCAAACCGAATACCATCCTAATCTTCCCAATCGATTGGACCACCTCTCCTTGTATTGTAGCCTTATCGATTATCGCCATAGCCGGCAGGCAGCCAACATACACAAGATAATGAATCCAATGAAACTGACACACTAACTAGCCGATACTGTATTTATCTGTTTGCAATGATTATTTTAAATTAATGATACAAACCGAAACTGAATAATCAAATTGTTTGTTTTTGTTCTTGAAGAAATACAAAAAGTTTTTTACGTGAAGAAAAAAAAAAGAGAAAAACTAAAAATTGAAACTAAAAGCAAAAAAAAAACCAGTTGTTTTACATATACCATTCATTTGAACCATAAATTCACACATCCGAATTTTTAGCTCTCCCGTGAACTAAAGGAAACTATTAAAGTTGCAGAACCTATTTTCAAAACAACTTTGTGGTAATCCTTATCAATTTTAAAGTAAGTATTATGGACCGACGATGGATTAAAGTTACAACATTGAGAAAGCTACACATTTACTGGTTTTATTAAATGGAAATTGCCAGCTTTACTTTTAAGTAACATCTAGTGCTTAACATTATTCCGAAGTATGATCCTTACGTGTCCTCGAACATGGTCAAGTCCATTATATAAACATTTGATACGAGGCAGTCCCCTTCCTGGAAGAAAATAGAAAACAATATTTAATAATGCGTTAAATTTCGGTCAATTAAATACCCACCCCAGGTGTAATGCCCACCAGGGCATCAGCATGACCATAGAACTCTTCCTTCAAGGAAATGACAATGGTCTGCAGGTTGGTCGTGTGATCCCTAATGAACGAAGCGACTTTGCCAATGTTTGTGTTGTCCAAGGCGGCATCAATCTCGTCGAGCACAAAGAACGGCGCTGGTTGAAAGCTATAGAAGAATATAGTACACATTTTGATTAGATTTTGGACTATATAAATTGAACTTTTTTTACCTGTGGGTGGAGAAGAGCAGTGCCAGGGCCGCGATGGTTTTTTCACCGCCACTCAAGTTGTTCATGGGCTGGAAACGTTTGCCGGGCGCCACACAATTGTAGTTGATACCATCCAGATACGGCTCCTCGGGATTATCGGGTCCAATGTAGGCCTGGGCTGCCTCGTTGCGAGCCAGCTTTTTGTAGATACCATCAATGGCATCCGAGATGTGCTGACAGCAGGCCACAAAGCGAGAGGAGCGTTCGTTCTTGACCCGCTCGAATGCCGCCTTGGCTTTCTTGGCCTTTTTGCGCGCATTCTCGAACTCCTCGTTGGTGGACTGCACCTTTTCCGTTACGGCATCCAGTTTCTGCATGGCCTTCATGTTCGGCGTCTGTATGCGCTCCAGGACGTCCAGTTTACTTTGCAGGTCCTTTTGCAGCAACTCGTGGGCCTTTTTGAAGCCGGAGTCATCCTTCAGCTTGGCGTATTCTCGTGGTAGCGATGAAAAATCCACCTCAATACTAGGGGTGTTTTATAATGTTATAGATTAAGAATTTGTGAAACTATTTTTACAGAACTTACAGATTATCCATTGCTGCTGCTTGAGAGGTGGATGCAACGTCCGCATCGCTTTGTCGCACCGCATCGTCCAGCGAGCCGCGCAACAATGGCACCACAATGCAATCGGTCTAAGGAAATAATCCAAGATATATTGTTATAATCGTAGTTAATCCAGAATATCTCCAACTCACTTTGGCTTGCAACAGTATGTTCTGTCGTTCGTTTTTCTTGGCCTCGATCTTCGACTCCACGGAGGATAAGTGGCTACCCACATTATGGATTTCCTTAGCCAAATTTGCCACATCCCGCCGAGCTTTTGAAATATCCTCCTCCATGTCATCCACGGCCTGCTTTTTGGCCTGCTTCTCCTGCTTGAACTTTTCCATCTTCTCCTTGTCCTCGTCGATTTCCTTTAAATAGCGCGCCTCAGCCGTTTTGAGGCCCTCCAAGGCATCCTCCTCGTCCTGCACGCTGCGCTCCCAACGCTCAACGTTCTCTGCAAGGCAATTTATTAATTCATTGCTAGTGAATACTTTTCCTAGCACTTACTTTTCGTATCCTTCTGTTTCTCAAAGTCCAGCTGCGAGTTAATGGAATCTATCTGCTGCTCGAACTCGGCCCGCTTTCGCGCTCGCTCCTGCTGCATGACCAGCTCCCGCTCCTCGTACTGCCGGATGTTCTTCACGCCCAGGCGGCGGCAGAAGGAGGCGTACACCTTGTCCTCCACATTGTTCATGTTTTCCTTAATCTCCTGGATGTGCTCCTCGCGGTTCTGCATACGACGCTCGATCTCGTTGATCTTGGGCTGCAAAATGATCATAATCAGAATTTTTATTTAAATTCAAGGCTAATTTAAGACCAACTCACCCCGAAATCATCCAACTGGGTTTGCACCTGCTTCAGCTGGTTGTCATACTGACCAATTGACTTCTTGGAGGACTCCAAATCGACCATACTGTACTTAAGCCTGTTCTCTAAGCCCTTGATCTGCGATTCCACAGTGGCGAGCTCGCTCTGCTTCCGCGACTTCTTCACCAGCTCCTTGAGCTCCTCCTGCAGGCGTTCCTTCTGCATTTTCAGCTGGGCCATGTGCTTCTCGTCCCAACGCTTTGCCTTGCGCGCCAAATCGTGACTGCCGCCGGAAATGAGACCCGATTTCTGATAGAAGGTTCCATCCAGAGCCAAAGCATCGAAGCGCGAACGGTCGATCTCATAGGCCACCTTCATCGCATCCTCGGGAGTCTCGCAGACGAGAGCATTGCCGGTGGCGAAGAGGACGGCGCGTTCAATCTCTTGCGGCTCGAATTTGAGCACATCGAAGACCAATCGTACGTTGCGCGGATCGCTGATGTTGCGCAGACGCTCCTTCAGCGGCTTCACTTGCAGATAGTCCAAGGGCAGGAAGGTTTCCACTTCCAGCATTTGCTCTTTTAAAATCTGTTGGGAAAATGCAATATTTAATTAAGTGAAATCAATAACACAGGTACACAGCCAAAAATTTCCACGCACCATTTCTAATTTTCCCTGATAATTGGGAGCAGATAATAAAAAAAATAAATCCAATAAAATGTCTTCATGAAAACGCTTTAAGCCGAAATTAAAGCATACAATGAACATTCGATTAAAGGAATATTTAAAATTAGTTCCATTTAAGATTTAATTCCCAGATTTCTTTTTTCATCAGAGAAAACTTCAAAATTTTGTGATTTTTGACTTTGGCGTCGATTTCCAAAGAGATGGGCAATGGGGACTATTTTTTAGGAATGCCATGATGTATTGAGAGTAGATTTCACCAAAAATAATAAAGGTTAGACCAATGGGACTTTTACTCAGGATCACCCGATTATCATGGAAAACTAGAAATGGTTCGTGGAAGTTTCACAAAGTTAAGTTTTGTGTTCCTGTGTAATCAGCAATGAATAACCCACCTGAATGCAGTGTCGAGCTGTCTTCTCGGTGTCCACAATGATGGCCTCCATGAACTTGCCCAGCACTTTGGTGACGGCTACGTTATAACGCTTGTGCGTGGGCTGACACATGTTAATCATGCGGTCGTAGACCCCGGGAACCTGCTTCTTGAACAGCTCCACCACCTCCTGCTTCTTCTTGCGCCGCGCATCCTCGTGCTTGTCGCTCTTGGCATCGCCCAGTTGGTCGCGCACATCCTCCAGCTCGCGTTGCTTTTCGGCAATCTTCTCCTTGGAGGTGCCCACATCTCGCCGGAGCTCGTCCTTGATCCTGTTCTGCTCCTCCAGGGCAGCCTGCGAGGATTTGATGTGATCCATCAGCTTGTCGCGACGCTTTACAGCTTCCTCGCGCTGTAGGGTGAGCTTCTTGAAGGATTCCTCCACGGAGGCGCGTCGATTGGTCTCGCCATCGAGCGTGTCCTGCTCGGACTTTTGTTCCCGGTTCACCGAGTCCAGCTCGGAACGGTACTGGGTGGCCGTGGCCTCCGCCTCCTGCTTTAAACGATCGTACTCCTGCACCAGGCCCTCCTCCATGTTGACGCTCTTGCCGCGTCGCTGCGATTCGTTCTCGATCTCGTCCTCGAAGCGCTTCTTCAGGGCCTCCACATCGGCCAGCTGCTTTTCGAGTTTCCTGATGTCCGACTGGTGGGCATTGTCCGCCTCGCGGGCCGTCTCCAGGGTCTTTTGCAGCGAAACGAGCTTCTTCTTGCAGTGCGTCACCTTCTCCTTGGCCTTGATGTACAGCGGTCGGCGTTTGTTCATCTGCGTCTCGAACTCGCGGATCTCCTGGTCGATTTTGGCCAGGTCTCGAGTGATCTTTCCAGCGTCTTTCTTTTTTTCCCGCAGTATCTCATCGGCGGCTTCTTTCCGCTGCTCCACCACCTTCACCTCCTGCTGGCGGACCTCTAAATCCCCGGTGAACTTGCGAATGTCCCGCTCCACGTGGAAAAGTCTGAAGAGTTGGTATTCAACTTGTTTCTCATTCTGTTGGGGATGAAATTGGTTTAGAAATGGGGTGGATTAGGGGGAATGCTAGGCATACATATTCGTTTTGCAGGCGGGTATAGCGATCGGCCTCCATCTTCTCGTGCTTGGCCTCCTTTCTTTCCGCCGCGATGCCCTTTTTCTTTTGGTATGTGAACTGTGTCTCCTCCTCGGCCACAATCATTTCCTGTTTCAGGCGATTGTAGTCATCCTTGAGCAGGCCAGAACTGGAAAGGTGAGCAAGGATTAGAGGATTAAGAGTTGAATAGCTTTTAGTTATAAGTTACCCGCTGATTTCCTCAAACAAAGCCGTGCGTTCCTTGGGCGTCTTCATGGCTATGTTCTCCACCGCCCCCTGGAACACCAGAAAGTTCTTGGCCTTCACATTGATGCCAATCTTCTCCAGCTTGTTTAGGTAAGTGCTGCTAGCAACGCTCTGAAAAGTTTAGGAGATTAGTTGAGCAAAAAGAGACTAATGAATCAAAACCAACCTCTCCATTTATGCGGTACTCCGAGGAACCGCTGATCACGGCCCGCTGGAAGTCCATGTGCTTGTCGTGGTTGAGCACAAACTTGGCCGTCACATAGCAGCTGCGCGAAACGGGCTTGCCAATGGAGGAGCCGTGGATGAGGTCGTTCAGGCGCTTCACCCGCAAGCTGCTCGTCTTCTCGCCCATCACGAAACTGATGGCGTCCATGAAGTTGGACTTGCCCGATCCGTTCGGCCCGATCACCGCGTTGAATTGCTTGAGCGGACCCACTACTATGTGGCCGCGGTAGGACTTGAAGTTCTCCATTTCGATGTACTCCAGGAAGGCCGTCTCGTCGTCCGGCTTGCGGATGGGCGCCGGCGCCATCCGGTGGGACACCTCATCCTCGTCGTCGGCCATTCGCACGTTCGGCTGGGCGCAAAAATCCACGGGAAATAACAATAAGAGCGCGAAATTAGTTGTTTTTCGCGAGAAAAAAAGACGCTGGGAAACGCTTCAGAAACAGTGGAAACGGAATCCCTGGCTCTCTGGGGATTTTGCCGTTCTCAGTTGACGGTCACACTGCACAAGCTAAAATCGATAATCGATTAATGTCCCTAGGGAAATTTATCGCTGCTTTTATTTAAATAATTGTTAAATTTAAATCAATTTAAGCAGAAATATACATGTCATAACGCTGGACATATTGAAAAGATTGGTTAAAAAATTATTTGGGACATGTTTGGAAAAGTATAAGAAATAATAAAACATTTCGAAAAATCCTGCTTTCAAAGTTACAAATTTTCGTAAAAACGAGTAAAAATTGGAACAAAAATAAACTTTTTTAAGTCAGTAGGAAAGGCCAGGGATATATGTATAATACCATTTTAATACAATAACACTATATTAGATTATAGTCTAATTATAATTATAGGTGTACAAAACAGGACTTTTTTGATTTGGGTTAGTGTACCAAAAACCCAGATCCTGATTTTCCAACGAAAAATATCATAATTTTTGGCCGAGATAAATAATAGTCCAAATATGGAATGTCATACCTAGTTGAGCCCGTAATTAAATAATAATTATTTTTGGCTGATTAATTGCATTTGTAATTATACAATGTCATGCAAATAAACGTCATTTATTATTTTAATATGTTTTTGCACATATTTATACATATATGTATAGTTAGCATTCAAGTAGTTTTGTTGGATTTTATTTTGCGTTCATACATATGTATATTTTAATTTTATGTATGCCAGATTGTACAAATGTACATATGTATAAACAAAACAAGAGAGAACGCTATAGTCGGGTTCGTGTCCCGACTATCTAATACCCGTCACTCAGCTAAAGGGAGTGCGAACGCTGTGTCGGGTTGGTGTCCCGACTAATAATCGTAACTCAGCTAAAGGGAGTGCGAGGGAGATAGATATATAATTTTTGATTGCGTATAACTTTTTAATGAATGGTCCGATTTGAAAAATGTCTTCTACATTTCGATAGGAATAAATATACACAACAAAATTGCATTTTTACTTCTCGAAAATCTTTAAAGATGTGGGCGCCAGACACATTTTAAAATCGTTAGTGGGCAATTGTGGGCGTTAGAGGGGGCGTGGCACTCGGCTAAAATAAACTTGCGCTGCGTAGAAAGCCCAAGAATATGCGTGCAAAATCTCAACCTTCTAGCTTTTGTAGTTTCCGAGATCTCAGCGTTCATACAGACAGACAGACGGACAGACGGACAGAGGGACAGACGGACATGGCTAGATCGACTCGGCTAGTGATCCTGATCAAGAATATATATAGTTTATAGGGTCGGAAACGCTTCCTTCTACCTGTTACATACTTTTGCACGAATCTAATATACCCTTTTACTCTACGAGTAACGGGTATAAAAATATAAACGTTTTTCGCGAAAATCTTTTAAGCAATATCAAGAGGCCTTCTCAGGGGTATACTTAAATCGAAAGATGCACACATATGTTTTTTATACACACGTCAATAAAGCAAATAAACATAATCTAAAAATATGAATGGTATAATGTATAAATACGAAACTGCGCCCAAAATAGCTTGCACACGAATTTGTTTTAATGGCCCGAATCGAGTGCTGACCTATGACAATTCAAATTATATCCCTAGATTTTTCCTGAACTTTCTACTCCTTTCATCTCTCACCATTTCCCCTCCTTGTACACACTAGCTGACTCGCTCGCACTCACGCGAAATGTCTCGAATGTTCTGCCCTTTTCTCGCAGGGAAATCTCGAATTTTCCCCTCACTGCGGCTGGGTATAAATAGCGGCGCAAATTTCCCAGCCGCCACATTTGAAATCAAGCAGTCAAAGTGAAAACATATAACTCAAGCGAGCGAGAAATAAGAAAAAGTGACAGTTGAAAATTGAGAAAAATTAAAGAAATATTCGGAAAGTATTCAAAAATTAAATAAAGGAAAAGCTCATTTAAATCATCTACCAAAAGCGTGAAAAACCGAACAAAAATGCCAGCTATTGGAATCGATTTGGGCACCACGTACTCCTGCGTGGGCGTCTTCCAGCATGGAAAGGTGGAGATCATCGCGAATGACCAGGGCAACCGCACCACACCATCCTACGTGGCCTTCACGGACTCGGAGCGCCTGATTGGAGACGCGGCCAAGAACCAGGTGGCCATGAATCCGCGCAACTCGGTCTTCGATGCCAAGCGTCTAATTGGACGTCGCTTCGATGATCCCAAGATCCAGGAGGACATGAAGCACTGGCCCTTCCGCGTGGCCAACGACAATGGCAAGCCCAAGATGAGCGTGGAGTTCAAGGGCGAGCAAAAGAGCTTTGCTCCGGAGGAGATTAGCTCCATGGTGTTGACGAAGATGAAGGAAACAGCTGAAGCTTATCTAGGCTCTACTGTCAAGGATGCGGTGATTACAGTGCCCGCCTACTTCAATGACTCCCAGCGCCAGGCCACCAAGGATGCGGGCGCCATTGCTGGTCTGAATGTGCTCCGGATTATCAACGAACCCACTGCCGCAGCTTTGGCCTATGGACTGGACAAGAATCTCAAGGGAGAGCGCAATGTGCTGATCTTTGATCTAGGTGGAGGAACCTTCGATGTCTCTATCCTAACTATAGATGAAGGTTCCCTATTCGAGGTGCGTTCCACAGCTGGAGATACCCACCTGGGTGGCGAGGACTTCGACAACAGGTTGGTCAACCATTTGGCCGAGGAGTTCAAGCGCAAATACAAGAAGGATCTGCGTGGTAATCCGCGTGCCTTGCGACGCCTGCGCACTGCCGCCGAGCGGGCCAAGAGGACGCTCTCCTCCAGCACAGAGGCTTCCCTGGAGATCGACGCCTTGTTCGAGGGCCACGACTTCTATTCCAAGGTGAGCCGCGCCAGGTTCGAGGAGCTGTGCGGCGATCTCTTCCGCAACACGTTGCAGCCGGTGGAGAAGGCGCTGAACGACGCCAAGATGGACAAGAGTCAGATCCACGACATCGTTCTCGTTGGAGGCTCCACACGCATTCCCAAAGTTCAAAGCCTGCTGCAGAGTTTCTTCGGGGGAAAGAGCCTCAACTTGTCCATTAATCCGGATGAGGCTGTGGCCTATGGAGCTGCCATCCAGGCGGCCATTCTCTCGGGCGACGAGAGCAGTCAAATCAAGGATGTCCTGCTCGTCGATGTGGCTCCACTCTCGCTGGGCATTGAGACCGCCGGCGGCGTGATGACCAAGCTGATCGAGCGGAATAGTCGCATCCCCTGCAAGCAGTCCAAGACCTTCACCACCTACGCGGACAACCAGCCGGCGGTTACCATCCAGGTTTTCGAGGGCGAGAGAGCTCTGACCAGGGACAACAACGTGCTGGGCAACTTCAACCTGACGGGCATTCCGCCGGCGCCACGAGGAGTGCCCAAGATCGATGTCACCTTCGATTTGGATGCCAATGGCATTCTGAATGTTACGGCCAAGGAGCAGGGCACTGGCATTGCCAAGAACATCACCATCAAGAACGACAAGGGACGTCTGTCCCAAGCGGACATTGATCGCATGCTCAGCGAGGCGGAGAAGTATGCCGAGGAGGATGAGCGCCACCGCCAGCGGATCGCCGCCCGCAACCAACTGGAGGGCTATGTCTTTGGCGTCAAGGAGGCCGCCGAACAGGCCGGCGATCGCATCAGTGCGGCGGATAAGTCAAGTGTGTTGAAGCGCTGCAGCGAGACGGTCAAGTGGCTGGACGGGAACACCACCGCCGAGAAGGAGGAGTACGAGCACAAGCTGAAGGAGCTCACCCAGTTCTGCAGCCCCATTATGACCAAGATGCACCAGCAGGCAGCTGGAGGAGGAGATGGTGGACAGCAGGCCGGCGGCCACAAGGGTCCCACCGTCGAGGAGGTGGACTAAGTCACAGCCAAGTTCCATTAGTGTAGATCTCATAATCTCATGATATTCTTCTGGTCAAAATACTAAGATTATTTTAGTTAGAATATGCTACTGGGTAGTAATTTAATAAATATTATTTATGACTTGCCAAACCATATAAAAAATGTTTTTAATTTAAAAATTGGATTTATTTCCGGGGTAATAATATTCATTTCCAGGTTACTTGTTTTTAAGTTAAAAAAAAACTATATGTTCCTCTGGTCAAAATACTAAGATTAGTTTAGTTAGAATATGCTACTGAGTAGTAATTTAATAAATATTATTTATGACTTGCCAAACCATAAAAAATGTTATTAATTTTAAAAAGGGATTTATTTCCTGGGTAATATTCATTTCCAGGTTACTTTTTTTTTTAATTTAAAAAAACTATTATAGATCTCATAGTCTCATGATATTCTTCTGGTCAAAATACTAAGATTACTTCAGTTAGAATATGCTACTGAGTAGTAATTTAATAAATATTATTTATGAATTGCCAAACCATATAAAAATCGTTTTTAATTAAAAAAAGGAATTTGTTTCCGGGGTAATAATATTCATTTCAAGGTAACTTGTTTTTTAATTTAAAAAAAATAGTGTAGATCTCATAATTCTTCTGGTCAAAATACTAAAATTACTTTAGATAGAATATGTAGTAATTTAATAAATATTATTTATGACTTGCCCAAGCCAAATAAAAAATGTTTTTTATTAAAAATACGATTTTTTTCCGGGGTAATAATATTAATTTGCAGGTTACTTGTTTTTAATTTTAAAATATCATAATCTCATGATAATTATCATATTATAATCTTCTGCTCAAAATACTAAGAATATTTCAGTTAGAACATGCTACTGAGTAGTAATTTAATAAATATTATTTATGACTTGCCAAACCATTAAAAATGTTATTAAATTAAAAAAAATAGTGTAGATCTTATAATCTCATGATATTCTCCTGGTCAAATACTAAGGTTATTTTAGTAATTTAATAAATATTATTTATGACTTGCCAAACCATATAAAAAATGTTTTTAATTTAAAAAAAAGGATTTATTTACTGGGTAGGAAAATCAATTCCCAGGTTACTTGGGCAGACCCTCTCTTTTAGCCCAATCTAGCCAGGATCCCTCGTAGTTCTTGACGTTCCTGAAGCCCAAAGCTGCCGCTGCCTCGGCGGCCTTGAGGCTCCTCTTGCCAATCTTGCAGTGGAAGATGATTTCCGTATCCGGCTGGGGTTTCTCCCGGCCATATTTGGACTTGAAGAGCTGCTCACTGGCCGCCAGTTCCTGGCTAACCACTCCCAGCGGAATGTTGATGCTGGCGGGGATCTGGCCCGTCTCCTTCAGCTCCTCCGGCTCCCTGACATCGATGAGCAGCTTTTTGGGTTCACCGGCCAGTTTCTTGACCACATCGTAGTCCACAATTCCAATTGCAGGTGCTTGGCTGCCGTAGAAGCGCTGCATCAGGTTCTTTTTGGATGTTCCGGCTGCGTTGGGGGACATCTGGGATCTGGCGACCCTCAAGGCCATCGTGCAGTGTCTCATCAGCATTTTAATGTGCTTAATAAATGATTAAATTCACAACAAATAACAATTATTACGTAAAATCGGAGAGAACAACAAATGAATGCCGGCTAACAGCTGTTACACTCAATTCACCAGATTTTAGCAGTGTGGTGAGTTTACGGGGAGGTGAACTCTACTTTGGCGCCCTTATTTGAAATGATCTAAGTGTAAGATTAAAGTTTCTGTTGAACGGTTTTTCAGTTTTAATTTGTAGTTTTTAGTCTATTTTTTCGACATTTTATAAACTTTGATTTAAATGTGGCCGATATTTATATATTTAATGTTTTCCCCCCTTTTCTAAAAAACCAATAATGTGTACAATAATAACCAAAAGTAATTGAAATTTACTTTTTACATTTTTCTTAAATTGATTGATTTCAATTCTTAAATTAAAGGTTTTTTGTTATTTATTAAATTGTTTTTAAATAAACGTGTACAACAAGTTGATTAAATTTTCCTTATAATTACCATTTCCTAAAGGTCTGTGTTCTTGATTAATTAAAATTAAAAAACTGGAAAACCAACCTAGGGTTAAAGCTTTAATTTTATAACATTTGCAGCACTGAGTGCCTTAGAATAGGCGCCACATTCGAAATTCGCCTATTGATCGCCCTACTGCCGACTGACGCAGATTCCCGGTTCTCGGTTCGGGTTTGGGATCGCAATCAAATCTGTTGCCAGGGCGAGTCGTCCAACACTCGCGGACTTCGTGGAGTGTGTGTGTCAAGGCCTGGGACCGAATCACCCGTCACCGCCTGATAAGTTCAACGAACAAGATTCCCGCCGGCAGGCAGGGCTTGATTGAATCAATTAAACGGAATCGGAATCGGAATGGATTGCGATCCCGGATTCGGTGCGCAAGTAAACACTGGGTGGGGTAAGGCATAGACGACTGAACAACAGCTCATCAAATCTCACAGCGGCACGCGCTCGTCTGGTTCACTGATAGCCTCCATGTCCGGAAAAGAGGTGATCCGAATGTGAACCCCCCGGCAGGCTAATTAGCTATGATAAGCTAACCACAGTGGTAGTCTCCTGAATCCTCAACGACGGGGGTTCAACGACTGCCTATCGAATGGTTAATTCTTATCACAAAAGTCTCCTGATAACGCCTAGCCCACCTCAACAATCGGTGTTCCACTTAAGAAGCGCGTGCCGAAATGAGTTAATTGCTTTTGTTGTTCTCAAATATATTTCGACGTTTTATTGTATAAAATATAGCTTAGGACTACAGAAATGGCAACAATACACAGTGTTAGCTTCGCAGGATGTTCACAAAATACATTTGCCTGGGACACGAGCGTCTAATGCTAATACAACGAGTGAGGTGAACAGGATGGGTGACTGATTCGGTACAGGATTGGATACAGGATACCCTTTTCATTTGGCTCCTGCAATGTGACCGAGAGACTCACCCACGCGGATCTTCTGGCCGGCTACTATATCGAATTTAAAGTTCTTGGGCGCCTCGAAGAGCAGCACAATGGTGCTGCCCATGTTGAACTGGCCGACGAGGTCGCCCTTGCCGAATTCCTTGGGCGAATTAAGGGCCAGCTCGTCGTACTCGTAGGTGCTGGGCGGATGCTTGCCGACATTGAAGCCAGTCCAACGGTTCGTTTTCAGCTCGGCATCCATGTAGATCTCAACGGAGCCCACGTTGGTGGCACCTACGGCGGTGTAGGAGAAGAAGCCGTGCTTCCACTGGCCCATGTAGAGCACCCTTTCGTTGAGGCAGAACAAACCAGGCAGCCAGCCGGCTACTTTGGGGCTCACGGACAGCAGTTCGCCGGAGAAGTGACGACGGATGCTCGGTTGCCAGGCGGTGGGAGAGTGGAAGCGGTGATAATCCCCGGGTGCCAGGTAAATCACGCACTGGTACAGCTCCGTAGAGCCATCGCGCTGCTTCTTCAGTGCCTGTGCATAAGAGGCACCGGAATTGGCCTGCTCCACGGTCTCCAGTGGCCCCAGGAAGTCCTCGATGCTGTAGTTCACACCCTTGACCTGTTCAATCAGCGAATCTGAGGCGCTGCCAAAGTGCAGGACCTTTCCATCTGCGGGAGAAACGAGTGGTGCCTCCTGATTGATGACGCGAACGCCCTCTTTGAGCGGTCTCGTGAAGAACTCGGCCAGGCTATTGTAGTGCTCGTACTCCGGAAACTGGGCCTCACTCAGGTTCACATTGAAGGTGTTGGAGTACCAGCCGTAGACATAGGGACGCAGACTCGGCGGCAGGTAGCAGGCGGCCAGCCAGCCCCAGCAGCGGCTGATGATGCGCAGCGGCAGGGAGCAGTAGACGCGCGACTGGAACTCGGAGGCGGTCCTGGGCTGGCCATCCTCGTCGCAGCGACGCTTCTGTAGCTGCCACTCGATGGCGCCGAACACGCAGATGCCCATGGGAGCCCAGCGCAGCAGGAAGCCCGTCCAGCGTGAGAGGATGTTGCGCCGCAGTTGGGCCAACTCCTGGCTGGGATTGGGTTTGGAATTGGGTTGGTGTTGTGGTTTCCTGTGGTGTAGTTGCGCCTCCTTGGAGGCGGAATTCGAGGAGAACTGACGAAAGTGCCGGGCCACCTGGACATTCTGCGGCTGGGGTCCTTTGGCGGGCTGCAACTGGAGCTGGGCCGGCTGGTGATGATGCTGCTGCTGCACCACCTGTCTGAGATTGCCGGCCTTCAGCAGGAAGCGGCCACGAGGTACGAAGTAGGAAACCATTGTTATTGATAAAACCGCAGCGACCCCGCCGCTTTAATCACGTAATCACGTATGCTATATGCCTATGGGTATGGCCAGATAAAAATGGCACGATGTGGAACTGCTTCTGCTTCTGTTTTTGTTTGCCTAATCTGGCGCGATTAATTCGGCTGGCTTTTAAGTGGCTGGGAATGGGCGAATTTACGAATCCGGAATGCCTAGGAACAACTGCAAAACATTCGTTTGGGGGGATAATTCTAGTTCACTAGTGTCGCAACTCAAATGTGCGGGGGAGTGGGGATCGGATCAGATGGGATGTTCTGGATGTGGAGGTTCCAATTGTTGCTTCCGTATCGCTGTGCTGCCTGCAAGAGACTGAAAGTTTTCCATGGGCCGTTAGAAGCGAAGAGGCTACAATGTGACCACTGCCAGTGCTGCCAGCTTTTAAAAGCTAGATTGGGCTACCCAATTGCTTGAATATTTGAATTTGCTTGTATTACAAAAACAAAGTTTCCCCTAGCAATAAACTCTAGTTTTGAAATATCTCTTGTTTTCAGTGCAAATCTTCATGTTTTTTTCCTTTCTTGGATTCTCTTCGCTTATCATGGTTTGTGGCGTACCAAAGCACAAGATTGCGGAAGTCAATGTCCTTAACCTTTAATACTTTGACTATATGTGGGGTGCTAAATACGTCATTTCGCATTCTTAAAGTATGAATTGAAATTCCATTGACGTAATATATAATAATAAATTGCTTTGGTTTCATTGTTTGAAAAATGGCTGATTACTTTCCAGGCACATTAAAAGCTACGTTAATGAGCAAATGTGAATATTAATTAATTAAACACATATTCATATAATTAGTCATAATTTTGTATTAACTGAACTGGGAAAAATTACTATTTTTGGAAGATTTTTTAAAATGACCTTTTACATGGAATTCTTTTTAGCTTTAATAAATGTATAATTGCACTGCGAATTTCTCAACTAACTAATTATGTCATTAAATTAATACAGCTTAACAAAATACAGCTAAATCTAGCTTTTATTCCCTAGCTAGCTCGGCAGCACTGGCGACGGCACTGCGTCTAATGTTGCTCACCAAAACAAACGAAAAGCGAAACCGTTCTCTCTTATCGGCTCCGCGGGAACGGGAATAGTGGTCAAGGCCTGCGGCTCCGCGACACGCTCAAGCCCCCTCGGCGGACACAATTGGGCAATGTTTTTGTTTAAAACAGGTTTTTTCGCCAATTCTTTCTTTTTTATGCCCCCGCTCGTGTTGACTGTCCGAATAACTGCGCCATTTTCGACTCTCTGCTCTCGACGGGGGTGGCAACTCTGGCAGCAGCTGCCAACAGCTGATGGATTGGATTATTTGTGTTTTCTTAATTTAATTTAATTGTATGCTTAAAACGAGGGAAAACAAATAGCGAGCACCATGAGCGAGGCGGAGAAACAGGCGGTGTCCTTCGCCTGCCAGCGCTGTCTGCAGCCCATCGTCCTGGACGAGCAGCTGGAGAAGATTAGCGTGCATGCCATGGCGGAGTTATCTTGTAGGTGATTATAACACCCATGAAATCCCTCTAATGAATCATCTATTTCCAGTGCCCATCTACAGGGACAATGGCAATACCCTGGATCCCCAGGACGCCAGCAGCTTCGACCACTTTGTGCCGCCCTACAGGCTCACGGACTCCATCAACGGCACTGGCTTCATGCTGGTTTCCGATGGCCGAGACAACAAGAAGATGAGCGCCGCCTTCAAGCTGAAGGCGGAGCTCTTCGACTGCCTGTCCTCCAACTCGGAGATCGACCATCCGCTGTGCGAGGAGTGCGCCGACTCCATGCTGGAGATCATGGATAGGGAACTGCGCATCGCCGAGGACGAGTGGGATGTGTACAAGGCATATCTGGACGAGCTGGAGCAGCAGCGCGAGGCGCCGAATGTGGAGGCGCTGGACAAGGAACTGGACGAACTGAAGCGCAGCGAACAGCAGCTTCTGTCGGAGCTGACGGAGCTCAAAAAGGAGGAGCAGTCGCTGAACGAGGCGATTGCCCAGGAGGAGCGGGAGCGCGAGGAGCTGCACGAGCAGGAGGAGAGCTACTGGCGCGAGTACACCAAGCACAGGCGCGAACTGATGCTCACGGAGGACGACAAGCGGAGTCTGGAGAGCCAGATTGCCTACTCGCGTCAGCAGCTGGAAAAACTGCGCGATACCAACATCTTCAACATCACCTTTCACATCTGGCATGCCGGGCACTTTGGTACCATCAATAACTTTAGGCTGGGCCGGCTGCCCTCCGTTTCGGTGGACTGGTCCGAGATCAACGCCGCCTGGGGACAGACCGTGCTCCTACTGTCCGCCCTGGCCCGCAAAATCGGACTTACCTTCGAACGCTATCGCGTGGTGCCCTTCGGCAATCATTCGTACGTCGAGGTGCTCGGCGAGAATCGAGAGCTTCCGCTGTACGGCAGCGGCGGCTTTAAGTTCTTCTGGGACACCAAATTCGATGCGGCCATGGTGGCCTTCCTGGACTGCCTCACGCAGTTTCAGAAGGAGGTGGAGAAGCGCGACACCGAGTTCCTGCTGCCCTACAAAATGGAGAAGGGCAAGATTATCGATCCCTCGACGGGAAATTCCTATTCAATCAAGTGGGTTTTCTGCTTTCTAGTTGTGATTTTTCGTATTTATATGATATATTCTTTGCAGAATCCAGTTCAACTCGGAGGAGCAGTGGACCAAGGCCCTGAAGTTCATGCTGACCAACTTGAAATGGGGTCTGGCCTGGGTTTCCTCGCAATTCGTGTCGCCGTGATGTTCTCTTGGGTCATTCAAATGTTTATTTATACAATTACTTATTAATCCTCTTAGTGCTTAGTATTAAATCGAAATCTTTCAAATTTTATATAGGTTTTAATGAATTTACTTAATTTGTCTAGTTTTTGATGGCCTTTTTCTGTGCCTCCGGCTCCTCCTCGCTGTCATCCGAGTCCGAATCGGAACCTGAGATATCATCGCCTATCCAAAGAGTACCCTTTTTCTTCTTTTTGGCCTTGGTCTTGTCTTCGGCGGGTGATTTCCTCTTGGTGCCACTGGTGGAGGCTTCCTGGGCCGCCTTCTCCTTGATCTCCTCGGCCTGCTTGAGTCCCTCCTCAAAAGCGTCGTTGACTTTCTCTGTGAGATTGGCCCTCGCCTCCTCGTACTTGTCGTCCTTGAAGTCGTGCTTCGGCACGGCCAGCAGCTTCTCGATCTTCCGCTTCTTCCGCTCCTCGGCCTCCCGTTCCCGCTCGCCCTGCTTGTCCAGCCAGGCGCGCACCCGCTTCTCCTCGTTGATGTCCCTCAGCCGACGGCCACTCAGATCCCGGCAAGCCTCGCGATTCGTGGTCTTTTCGATCTGGGCGCCAATGGCCCGCAGCATGGAGCCGAATCCTCCCTTGCCGCCCACCTGGCGCAGGATGCAGTGGACATCGCCTCCACATAGTTTTCCCTCCAAATCCAAGCGTTTTCCATTGCTCACCAGATAGTAATCCTCAGGCTTCAAGTTCTGTAAAGCAAATACCCTATTAAGGAAGATCATGAAATTCTCACAAATACTCACTGTGTTATCCCCAATCCGGCTGCATAGCTCAGCATAATTTCCGCAATCCCCAGTAACCAAATATTTATTGTTTATAAAAATATTTATGCCCATTTCGACGGTCTCCCTTTTCGATGACGATTGCACTTTCTAATAGAGGTGGAGAAACATCACAACTTTTTAGAAACATCGATGTTTTTTGGCGACAATCGATGTTTTTGTAACATTACCACTTTTAAGCCTAGTACTCAGTACGACGAAAACTGCTAGCTAAGCATAGGAGTAAGCGAGAGGCAAATAGGTAGCTAAAGCCCTTAGCCGGGGACTTTTCCCCCCTCGGTACTCAGTTGAGCTAAGGAAATAGTAAGAAAATACCAAATAAATACTAGATTTAGCGGATGAATTCCGATGAACGCCTTTAGCCGCCGACCAAAGAATAAAAAATTTGATCTTTGGCTGTGTTTGTGCAGAAGCGGTGTGCCAATAACAATTTATAAATGGAAGGAAAACCACAAAAACCAATGGAAAACTGCCTGTAGGAGTTGCTGCAATACATATCGCCATTCCAACAGGGAATTTAAAGCTTGCGACCCAGGTCGGTCCAACGTTTTGTAATATTTTAAAATTGGCGCCAGCTAATTTGTTTGCTGAGAGTAAGACCATGCTACATGCATTGCGGGTGAACTCCGAAAACTTCGGTCACACCAGAAGATTAATATTTTTCGACTAGTAAAACTCTTAGCCGAACTGAGTACTAGGCTTTAAAGAAAAAGGCGGAAAATGTGTTTTTCATTTAAGCCTAGTACTCAGTACGACGAAAACTGCTAGCTAAGCATAGGAGTAAGCGAGAGGCAAATAGGTAGCTAAAGCCCTTAGCCGGGGACTTTTTTCCACCTCGGTACTCAGTTGAGCTAAGGAAACAATAAGGAAATACCAAAAAATACTAGATTTAGCGGATGAATTCCGATGAACGCCTTTAGCCGCGGCCCAAAGAATAAAAAATTTGATCTTTGGCTGTGTTTGTGCAGAAGCGGTTTGCCAATAACAATGTATAAATGGAAGGAAAACCACAAAAACCAATGGAAAGCTGCCTGTAGAAGTTGCTGCAATACATATCGCCATTCCAACAGGGAATTTAAAGCTTGCGACCCAGGTCGGTCCAACGTTTTGTAATATTTTAAAATTGGCGCCAGTTGATTTGTTTGCTGAGAGTAAGACCGTGCTACATGCATTGCGGATGAACTCCGAAAACTTCGGTCACACTAAAAGATTAATATTTTTAATAGTATATATATATAGTAAAACTCTTAGCCGAACTGAGTACTAGGCTTTACTGTATTGACATGATTTTAGATATTCAACTGGTGGTGTAGGATGGAAGCGGCGGTGGATTAAGCTTTTCATAATACTGTCCTATGAATATGCTGATCACTTAAATATTGTTGATCAATTTTGTTTAATTTTTTTGGCGAATAAAGCTTTTGCTTATTTTGTTTTTAAATGAACTATATAAGTTTTTCAGTTGGGCTATATTATTCTACTGATTTATTTAAAAACAAAATAATAATAATTTTTGTAAAACATCGATGTTTCACCCGATGTTCTCATTGAAAACATCGAAAACATCGATGTTTGCGAACAGCGATGTTTCTCCACCTCTAACTTTCTGTTCCTCTTTGTTCTGCTTCTCCGGCCGCGGCGCGTGTGTTAGAAAGAGACAGCCATATCGGCTGCCCTAGGGTTGCCCTAACTCCGATAATTTATAATAAATTCAACTAAACCAGCGAATTAAGAATTGATCTTTGCCAGTATAGCGGTGGAAATCCCTCAAATACCCCCAGGTAAATAGTTATCTGAGAAGACCCCGGTATATTCACACTTTTCCCTGCATTTCCCAGCTTGCCGCCATTGCGTTTTTACTTCCCAGCGAGTTGGCAGCCCTGGCTCTCGCACACAAAATCTCATTAATTAGTTCGCATTTTAGACGACGAAGGTAAAATTTCAGCGTACTTTTGCAGGCCCCAAAAGCAGCGATTCTTGTGCAAATTTAATAGAGTCCGGTAGCGGTGGCGGCCCAAAACCAATCGCAGAGTGAAGTGCGTGAAAAGAGTGCCGAGCAAAAGTAAATGCGGTAAATTTACAACCGCAGCCACGTCACAGAGAGCGCATCAGAGAAAAGAGAAAAATGCGAAATCCGAATCCGAACAATGGGCATTAAATGCAACTAAGTGCGGCGGCGATAAATGTTAAACCTAGTTTTCGGCATCGCTGGGCGCAGGCAGTGGGGCGGGGGCGTGGCGGCCGAGGGAGGCAGGGGAGCGGCATTAAAAGATGGCAGCACAAGCAAGATACATACATACATACGTATAGCGTATACGTATAGTGGCAAATGAAAAGTCCCGCATTCAAATCGCCCTGGTATTGGTATATTGGCATTAGTTTAAATAAACTCAATAGCCGAAACCGAAAAAAAGCAAAGGAAAAGTGGCGACTCATGTGAGCAAAACGCAAACAAAAAGACCAGCGCAAGACGCCTCGGTGTGCGAGTGTGTGTGTGTGTATGTGTGTGCGAAAACCACCCCGCTTCCCTTTTCGCCTCGTTCTGTGACTTTGACTGACATTTTCTAGCGCCGCCGCCGCTGTGCAAAAATAATCAAAATCAAGTTTAGTGCCATGCAAATTAAAATTTGGATTCATTTCGCAAACAGCAAGGAGCAGAATCTAATGCGCCGCGCCGGTTTTGCAAATTTCCCTCGCCTTTCTCTTCTTTCTCCTCATTTTGAGGAAATTTGAAATTTATTAATTATAAACTAAATCATTTTGCAAGGCCCGCGAATTCGTTGCGAATGAATGGCTATTGTCAATCCACTCGCTTTGTTATAAAAGCAGCCCATCTCTCTCCCCCTCCCACCCCCAGTCTTTCTCTCGCGCGCGCCATCTCCCTCGCTCTCCCTGCGGCAGCCCTGCCTGTGTGTGTGTGCGTGCGAGGGAGCGTGCGTCTGTGTGTGCGTGTCCCTGCACTGCTTTGCCGCCTTCTTTGTTCCCCTCAAGCGAAAGGGGGCGGGGCGGTTGGTCTGGTCGATTTATATCCATACCATTTGCCTGGTTTAAGGCCCGCCGATCATGTGCCATCAGACCTTGTCCCACTCTTCCGGTTATCAGCCCTCAACTAACCCAAATTCTCTCTCTCTTTCTCTCACTCTCTCTTGCAGCAGCAGCGATTCCAGGGGTCAGCTTCGAAACCCAAAAACAACACTTAACCTGCGAACTTTCACACTGTTCAACATAGCCAACTAATTTTTGTACAAGAACAAGTAGCCGCAACCAAGTATTCACATATACATTTATACAATCCTGTATATTGAAACGGACAACCTACTATTTATAACCAACCAACCCGAGATAATCGAAGGATCGACCGTGTATCCCAAGAACCCCGATTCCCAGGCCCCCAGGAAGCGGAGTCACCCGATTATACATACACATATATAGAGCGACAAATCGTATATTCCAAAACACTCCATTAGCGTTTAGTTAGGACAGATATATTTATACATATACATATAGATGTTTAACGAAATTTTCAATTAGGCGCCAGATTAGGAACGAAAAGAAGCAAAGCAATAAACGACGAACCTCAGCATACAGATCTACCAGCCTAGATGCAGCATATATAGTTTATATAATCCAAAAAACCAGCCAAGTCGAGAGTAAGTCGGAAACGGAGTAGTAGAAAATCAAAGTATTCAAATTTCTAGCCGAGTTCTCTGTTAGCAGCTAGCACCTTTTAGATCGCCGCAAAGACACCTGTTTAATTAGCAGATACATAATTAGATTTTGTACGTAGCTAGGAACAAGAAGATCAGCAAATTTTTGATATTGACCCCTTCCGATTGATGCGGCCAGTTGCAGCAGTCGTTGCAAATCCGGTCCGAGTGTAGAGCTAGCTTGTGTAGCCTAGTGTAGATCCCCCGATCGAAGTCACAGTCCCAGGACAAACGCCAGCCGCCATGGACGAGTCGCAGCCGAAGACCCTGTACGTGGGCAACCTGGACAGCTCCGTCTCCGAGGACCTGCTCATCGCCCTCTTCGGCACCATGGGCCCCGTCAAGAGCTGCAAAATCATCCGGGAGCCGGGCAACGATCCGTACGCCTTCATCGAATATTCCAACTACCAGGCAGCCACCACAGCCCTGACCGCCATGAACAAACGCCTCTTCCTCGACAAGGAAATCAAGGTGAGTTAGCTGACTATTAAATCAGAAATGTATATATCTTCATGTCTTGAAGTCTTTATATCAAAAATGTATATATCTTCATGGCTTGAAGTTTTAAATTTCTGATTTATATAAAATTACTTTTATTAGTTTTAACAATTAAATTAGTCAATCAGGAATGTATATATCTTGATGTCTTGAAGTTTTAATATTCCCGATTTAAATAAAATTATATTTATTAGTTATTAAAAATTAAATGAATCAATCAGAAATGTATAGATCTTCATGTCTTGAAGTTTCTATATCAGAAATGTATATATCTTCATGTCCTGAAGTTTTTATATTTCTGATTTATAAAAAATTACCTTTATTAGTTTTTAAAATTTTGTTGAAATATATATTGAATATATTGAAAAAGTTCTCTCCTGAGCCAAAACTTCAATTTATTTGCCTTTAAAAATAAAAAATAAATCTAGATTGTAGATCAATGCTCTTACATACCAAATATTTTACCAAAATAAACTCCCCACATCTTAGCCTACAGCTATTGATTACCACCTATTAACAAACTCTATTTCTTCCAGGTCAACTGGGCCACCAGTCCCGGCAATCAGCCCAAGACAGACATCAGCTCGCACCACCACATATTCGTGGGCGACCTCAGTCCCGAGATTGAGACGGAGACGCTGCGCGAGGCGTTCGCCCCCTTCGGCGAGATCTCCAACTGCCGCATTGTGCGCGACCCGCACACCATGAAGTCAAAGGGCTACGCCTTTGTGTCGTTCGTGAAGAAGGCGGAGGCGGAGAACGCCATCCAGGCGATGAACGGCCAGTGGATTGGCTCGCGGTCGATACGCACCAATTGGTCCACGCGCAAGCTGCCCCCACCGCGCGAGCCGTCCAAGGGCGGCGGCCAGGGAGGCGGAATGGGCGGCGGACCGGGAGGCAATGGGTCCGGCGTCAAGGGCAGTCAGCGTCACACCTTCGAGGAGGTGTACAACCAGTCGAGCCCCACCAACACCACCGTCTACTGCGGCGGCTTCCCGCCGAACGTCATCAGTGACGACCTGATGCACAAGCACTTCGTCCAGTTCGGTCCCATCCAGGACGTGCGGGTCTTCAAGGACAAGGGCTTCTCGTTCATCAAGTTTGTCACCAAGGAGGCAGCTGCCCGCGCCATCGAGCACACGCACAACAGCGAGGTTCACGGCAACCTGGTCAAGTGCTTCTGGGGCAAGGAGAACGGCGGCGACAACTCGGCCAATAACCTCAATGCCGCGGCCGCTGCGGCAGCAGCATCGGCCAATGTGGCCGCCGTGGCAGCGGCCAATGCGGCGGTTGCCGCTGGAGCGGGAATGCAGGGACAGATGATGACGCAGCAACAGATTGCCGCCGCCACAGGAGCGGCGATACCCGGCCAAATGATGACCCCGCAGCAGATTGCAGCCGCCACAGCGCAGTATCCATATGCCGCCTATCAGCAGATGGGCTACTGGTATCCCCCAGCGGTGAGTTGGGCGAGAGACTCTGTCTCAGTGCTGCCATGTCCTTTTTGTCCTTTTATCGGACAGATATATCCTTTTTTTAACGGCTTTATCCGGAAAAAATTTCAATCATCCCCTGTCCGTAAATCTGTCCTTTTTTCAAAAACAAGTTATTTAATGTTAGTTTTGCTTGGGTTTTTATCATCGAAAAATCAATTACTTTTCTATTTTTCCTTTTTAAACTGGTTAAATGTAATTAATTCAAAACTTTTGTATATTATTTTTTTAATTTTTGAAATCCAGAAAAATTCAAAGTCTAAAAGTTAGGTTTTTGCTAAAAAAAATTTGACTTTTCGTTTTAAAAAAGGTTTTATAACGCCGGTTTTTTTTCATACAGAAAACGATCGGTTGAGCCATAAAAAAATGTCGATTAGCACGGACTTTAAAAATCAGTTTAAATTAGTATAAAATGTAATATATTAACAAAAACAGAAAAATATTGAAGAAGTACCTTTTGTCCTCTTTTTTGTCCTTTAAAATTTTGTTGTCCTTTTTTTCCCGGTTTTTTCTTTGGCTGATCTGTCTTGTTTTTTAAGCTGAGTGATGGCAGCACTGCTCTGTTTGGAATCCCAGAACTTCCGATCATTTATGGGATTATCATTGTACTAATTTTACTTTCTTTCAGGCCTACCCCACAACCCAGATGCAGACGCAGTACATGCAACAGGGCTACTATCCCTACGCCTACACTACCAGTGCTCAGCAAGCGGGAGGAGTCCGTAAGTGCCACTTTCTCAGCCCTCGAATCCTCTTGACTTTTGTTTAATCAGCCTGCGTACAATTTTCAGCTGCTGGATACCGCATGGTGCCGCCGAATGTTGCATGGGGAGTGCCCGGAACTGTTGTGCCCGGCGTTACGGCCGCCGCAGCTTCTGCGGCCGCAGCAGCGAACGGTTCTCTTGCCCCCCAGATGATGTACAGTGCTGCGATGCCACAATACCAGACCCAATGAGCTGAGATGTGACGCCAGCTTCGACGCCGTTTGCAGCATCCGGGAAGTCGCCCCCAGCCGCAGCCACAACAACCACCTCTGCTGCACCATCTGCCGCATATGCCGCATCTGCAGCAGTTGCAATCGCATTACGCACGTTTAGGTTACGTACAATACCGAGTAGTAGCAAAGTCGGAACCGCTCCTGGCCCTGCCGGTGAGCAGCAGCAGCAGTGGCAGCAATGCTGCTGGAGATTAGAAATGCGCACGAGTGTCTAGTTTGGAGTTGTGGCTACGGTTGCGGCTGACTGCGATGGGCGGAAGCGGAATCAGGGGGTGGTAAATCCCCCCACAATCGAAGGTCGAGGCGGCGCGTGGAACTCAACTTCAAGTGAACCACGCCGGCGACAACTGAAACAACATCAACTGAAAAGCTCCGGGCGATGGGCGGGTAGCTGTAACAATCTAATCCAATCTAAGTACGTGTTAAAATAATTTAATGATTTGTAATTTAAGCAGAAATAGGCGTATAAACGAAACGGAAACAAAATAAACCGAATGAGAAATTCAACAAAAACAAACAGAACAGAACAGAGAAAAGGCAATTACGTGCGACAGAGTTTAAACAAAAACAAAAAAACAACACACAATCGAAACAAAAAACAAACGTGACAAAGCAAATTGTAATTGTAACTATGTGGGACATGTGTCAACGAAAACTGAAGACGGGAAGGGAAGCGTCAGTAGGATGAATGGAAAGCCACAAGCAAGCCGAATGCAAAAACAAGAGGAAAAACAAATTTAGTCACTAAGAGAATGTAAATTCGAGCATACATATTGTATATTTCCAATGTGGAAAACGAAATGCGATATAAATATGTAAAATGTAAAATAAAGAAACAAAAAAATATATAAAACAAGTGAGAAAACGAAGAGTTGCGGTTTTTTTAAATCAGGATAGCGAAATGGGTATCTTTAGGTTATCAGTATTATTTATTATTGATTGTGGTCGCCTGAAACGCACTGTTTTTAATGCTGGTTGAAATCATTAATATGGTTTTAAGGTATCAAAATGTTATAGATAAATAGAGAACCAGCTCATTCATCAACATGACTACAGATGTGATAGAGATTTATTTAGACGGACGTCTATTTGGACCCGCCTTCTGGGAATCTAAACAAATATAAGCATGAATACAACTATTTTCCAGATTCAGAAATGTCATATTGAGATGAAACTATTTAATAAAAGCCTTAAGAATGCATAACATATTAATCGATCTTGTTTTCTCATAGCATTTGTAGAACATGCGCTGCGAATTCCAAAGCTTTACCATTTCGTTCCCTAATGGAGCGTACTTTAAATGCAAAACTAGTTCTCACGAATACATCTTTTCCATGGACTCTCGCTTATTTTGAATGCGTCTGGTGATGTCAGCTTAATATAAACGGCTACAGTTTCAAATACAAATAATCAAGCACTACCAATGCTTTCCAATAATAATGATTCAATTGGTGTTCGTTTGAAATCGATTTTATTTAGCGTATTCTATAGATTTACTTTTTTAATATATTTGTATATGCATGTAGTTTTTGGATCTGTGTTTAGTAACTAGTCATAGAACTCAAATTCCGGGTGGGCGAGCTGCGCAGAAGCTGGTTCAAAGTACCGCGATAAGCGACGAGCATGTGTGCGGGTGTAGATGTATCTGAGCGATCTGATAACACCAGATCCATACGCACCTGCTAGGTACAACATTTTGAGAGTGTTACTAATAATATAGGTGATTCGGAAACGATTGTATTTATAGCCGTAGGTACACAGATTGAAACAAAGGAACTAAACTAGACTAACGATACGGACAGTGATAACTATTAAAACTTAAATCCGATTCTGCGATTCTGGTTGTGTATAAGTATATATCATCGGTCTTAGGACTACGCTTACTTCTAGATTACATGTAGCTTGTGGATGGGCACTCAATGTACAACAAAAATATGCTCTATTGGTTCAAGGATACAATGGAAGTAGTTGTGAACTTCTTGGGCCGCCTGACTTACGAAAAAAAGAACGCCGCTACATGGAATGTTCCAAAAAAGAAACTTAAAACTAGTTTATAAAGCAATGTGCCCTTGAATAAATATCCGAAACGAAAACAGGGCGGAACTACTAGGCAGCAACTCCATTGGATATTTAGATATTCTTAGAAATACACTAGGTTAAATGAGTATAACGATAATGGAGCTGCATGACAGTAAAACGACGAAAAAATAATACAATAAACTTAGGCTAAAACAGGCATGGCATGGAAACAAATCATATTGAATAATTCACTGGTTGATACAAATCTAACAATGTTTGTGAAACGTAAATTCTACAGTTTGAATAGAACCTTGGATGACGAAGAGAAACATGGGTCACATGGGATCAAAACTAGAACGGCTAGGGATTACGGACTGACACTCACATCACAGGAGGGCAGGTTCGCTGGCTAGAACAGACTAGATGGTAATGTCGCCGTAGTCCTGCGACCACTTCTCGTACGAGTTGAGGCTCTGCGGCGCCACCGAGCGCCTGATGCGCTTTAGCGAGCTGTGAAAGTCCTGTTCCGTGATTGCACGCATGGCACTGATGTCCAGGCACTTCACTTGCTCCACATTCAACTCGCGGATGGGCTCCAGGGCGGCGTCCTTGGCCAGGGCCGTCAAATCGGAGCCAGAGTAACCGTCTGTGATCTTGGCCAGGCGACGCAACGCCTCCGTATCCAACGGACTGCCCTGCTTTTGCAGCAATCGATTGAGGAGCAGCTCGCGGGTCTGCTCATCGGGCAGTGAGACATAAACGCGCTTCGTGAACCGTCGCAGGGCGGCCTCGTCCAATTCCTGCGGTCGATTGGTGGCGGCCAGCACCACGATTCTATCGCCATCCGGATTACCAGGCAGCCCATCGAACTCCACCAGAAACTCGGTCTTCAGGCGGCGCGATGCCTCGTGTTCACTGCTGCTGCGCTCGGAGAGTAGCGAATCCACCTCGTCGATGAAAATAATGGAGGGCTGCATGTGACGGGCCACCGCGAAGAGGGCCCTCACCAGTTTCTCGCCATCGCCCACATACTTGCTGGTCAGCGAGGCGGCCGAAATGTTCAGGAAGGTGGCGCTGCACTCTGTGGCCACGGCGCGGGCCAGCAGAGTCTTGCCATTGCCGGGTGGACCGAACAGCAATAGTCCCTTGGCTGGGGCACGGAGTCCTAGGAGGGAAAAGGGAAAAGGTTATTTCATGTTCTTCAGCGCTCTTTAAAAGCAAACTAACCCGTAAACAGCTCCGGTCGGACGGAGGGCAGAATGACCATCTCCTGCAGCGCCTGCTTGGCCACATCCTGGCCGGCAATGTCCGTCCACTCCACCTTGGCGCCGCCCTCGACAATCTCGTCCAGGATGAGCTGCACCAGCTTTTGCTCCACCCCTTTGACACTCACCACCGGAGTGCTGGAGCCACTGCCGCTGGGTCCGTTGTTGTTTATGGGAGTTCGCGAGCGCTGCGGCGGCGTATTGCGTCCCGAAGACTGCAGATAAAAATATATTATTTATTTATTTATATAAAGCAAACTTAAAGTCTCTAGCAAGTGTCGAATTAGATACATTTATATTTTTATAATTTTGAATTTAGATTTTGTGCTTATTTTGGACTTTTTCAAGGTGTCGAATTAGACACATTTTTATTTATTATTTGCATTTAGATTTTGAATTTAATTTGGGCTTTTTCAAGAAATGAGATGATTTTAAATTAGATATGTAGGCATAAATATAACCACCGCATTTCCCATGCGATCTGATAATATTTCCCAGCGTTGCAAACTTTCCAAACTCATAAACAGATGCATATATCTTTTGTTTGTTTATCCAGATACTTACAAACTGGCGCCGAACGGCGGGGGGCGTGGCAGCCGTCTTGGCTGGCTGCCTTTGGACAGCGCCCACGGATGTTTTGGAGCCAAGGTTGCGCGGCAGCGTCTGTGACTTGTTGGCCACGGCCAGATTAACGGGACGCTTGCTACCAATGGTTAACTTGCGGCCAGAAGCTGTGAAAGAAACCAATATAAACCCAATTAGAGAACAATAATCGAGTGAAGGCGACTCATTCTAAGCTACAATTTGGCCAAGCGAAATAAAAATCGTACTAAAATCAAGTGCCAAGTGAGAGGTGATAGGGTTTGACTGATCTGCGCCGCCGGGTGAGGATCTTGTTGGGTGCCCTGGTGCACTGGTGAGGAACTTACCCGTGGGCTGGGTGGCCTTGGGCCCGTAGCCGCTGCTGCGCACCTTATTAAGCTTCATGGGTTCGCTGGTCATGCCCGCCAGCATGGGCTCCCTGGACTTCTGAGCCGCCTGCTCCTTCTGCTGCTTCTCCTTCAGGGAGAGACGCTGCATTCGCAAATCCTCCTCACGCAGCGCTGCGTGATCATCATCGAATGAACGCGAGTATGTGGACAAAACCAAAGGCGGGCGGACAACAACAAAAAAGGCGGGGTAAACGTGCAAAATGAATAAAAAAACAAAAAATGAGGTAAACAAAAACTATGTTTCCGGGGTAGAAATTGTATATAGTCAGCTGCCACTCACCCAGAAAGTGGAGACGGTCTCGGGCCATCGAAAGGTTCGTCTGCATCTTGTCATGCAGCCGCTGAGCCCTATCCCATACATCGCCACGTCCACTCCAGCAGTCGACAGCTATGCCATCCTCCAGCTCTTTGATGCCTTTGCGGTACAGCTCAATTGCCAGCTCTTTGTGACCTGGAAAAAATATGGAGAAGAAATTGTTGAGAGGACGACTTTCAGATATCCTTAAAAGGTTTTTAGAACTAGAAGATTTAAGTTAAAAAGTAAACACGAATAGTTTATTACTATACTACTATTATAGTTCTTACAAACAAAGGCATTTATCGGCTTTAAATGGTTTTTAAATCCTAAGGAAATTCGACTTTCAGATATCCTTAAAAGATTTTTAAAAACTAGCAGACCTTAATTAAAAATGTTTTAACATCCTAGAAACAAGGACATTTTTCGGCGAGGTTAAGAAATTTTTAAAGGCAATTTGACTTTTAGATTGCCTTAAAAGGTTTTTATAACTAGAAGATCTTATTCCAGATAAAAACAAGGACTTTTTCGGCTATAACTAGCTAAAATTGTTGTTAAATCATAACAAAGATATATATTATTTAAGATCGCCCTAAAAAACTCGGTTTTCCCTACCATACTATACCCTTTTACTCTATAAAAACCCATGTTATAAATAAAATACAAATACAAATACAACTAAAATACAATTATATTTCTTAAAAACAATGACAATTTTTCGACCAAAACTAGTTAAAATTATTATTAAATCATAACAAGGGTAAATATTTTTTAAAATCTCCTAAAAGGTATGTTTTTTCCTGCCATAATATACCCTTTTACACTACAAGAACCCAATATAAAAACCATGGGATTGAAGGACTGCCAGTCAATAAGTGTCCATCAAGGCGGGCCACTCCCCCGCTTCCTCCTCCACCGTCGCCTCCCACATGTGGGGCATCTTTTGTGCGCGCGTTTCGGCTTATTGATTCTCACACTCGACAGACAACAAAAGCCAGCGGGCGATGACTCATTGAGCATTGAGCATCGAGTGCTCGAACTCGAACTCGAGAACTGGAGCTGCTACCCCCATTACCACCACTCACCTTCGTTCTCCTCGTCAATCTTCAGTGCCTTGGAGATGTATTCGAAGGCGCGACGATGGTGATGCTTCTGCTTGGCCAGCAGCGGATCACCGGGACCAGGTGAGTACCCGCCTCCCGGACGATTAGAGGCCATTTCCAGTGGTTGAATGGGCCGAAAACGCTGCGGCTGATGGGATAACTGCTGCTCCTGTCCAGCACAATCGCTGTTGAGCTCCGAGAGATTCTGCTCCTCTTTAGAAGAATTCTGCACCACAATCTCGATGTTGCAGTCGCGTCGATGGGGGCGGTAAATCACCTTTGTGCTCGCCCCGTAGAGGTAGCGAAAAATACAAAACAGCTGATAAATCAGCGAGCGCAGAACGTTGAACAGAAAGATAATGGGGAACGAGACGACGTAGAGGTTCTGCTTGTGCACGGAGGACGAGTAGCCGTAGCCGTACGGATGATGGTGGCCGCTGCGCGGGGAGCAAGTAGTGGGGGTCAGGTCATCTGTGGTGGTGGTGTCGTCGTCCGGCGAATCCGGCGAGCTGCCCGGACTGCGGCGATTCGAGGAGGAACCTCCGCCGCCAACGCCTTGCGAGGATGAAGATCCACCCCCGATAACAGCCGCTACGTTGGAGGCGCTCGACGAGCGATGCGTGGACTGGCGACCACCGCCGACTCCTCCGGACGAGAATCCTGCTCCGCCGCTGGATTTGATCGGTGACTTGGTGCTGCTGCTGCTGGCGCTGGAGGAGGACGACTGGTTTTTGGTGCGTACCATCGATATCGATTCCGCGCTGTCTGCGCGTCCAGCACTCCGGCCCCCCGCCGCTCTCCTTCGCCTGAAAACTTGCACGGGGAAGTTATCCTTTCAACTGCCGCTCCGGTGGACCGTGGCACGCGTTGCTAGCGACGCCGCACGAGAAACGAATAAACCGAGCAGAGGTTCTATTTCGAGCAGGAGCTGCTTTTCATTTTGCTGATATCCCAACTGATTTTTCTCCGCACTTTGCAACTTCTCTGGTGTTGAAAATTGAAGCTAAGCTCTGGAGCCCAGCCAGTGCTGCCCAACTATCGATTACCAAATCTAGCGGGCATAGCTGGGAAGCCAGAAAAAAAGCCAAGTTTGAAAGGTGGTGTGTAACGGACAAATGTTAAGGTCGAGGATTTCCAATCTAGAGGTAATTCGGTAATATTAGTTAATGCAAAATAACCAAGTTTATATAGCACATTTTAATAACTATTTGACATAGCTAGGAAGCCAGGAAAGGGCCAAGTTTGAATGGTTTTATATAACGGACAAAAGGTAAGTTGGAGGATATTAACTCAAGGGGTTAAACGGAAATATGATTTAGTACAAGCTAATTGTAGAACGCTCTAATGACTATCTGGCATCGCATATTTGGGATGAGCTATAAAAAATATGTTAACTTTTTATTAAATATTTCGGAAACTTAAAATATATAGGGATAAATCTGTAGACAAAATGACTTTGTTTTATAATTTACAATACCTTAGCATTTTCTGTTTATTCCTTTCAAAATAGCTAGAATCGTTAAGGACGACTAAGTCCATTTTAAAAATAGCTAGACTTAACGGTAAAAAGCCAAAGTGGCATCTCCCCGCCAAAGTCAGTCAACATATGTAGCTGCCAGATAGTTTTAGCGTTACTATTTTCAAGTCAAAATTAAATTAGTGGGTGAAATTAAAACAACTGAAGCCCACATTTTTCAGATTTAAATTTGTACAATTTAAACCGAATTGTCGGTGGAATTGGAGAAACTATCGCAGTGCTTGGGGGTGTGGCAGCCCTGGCAGCCGGGTGCGGTATCGGTACATCGATAGCGCAACCTTGATACATCGACTGCCATCCTCGTTCGGTTGTTTTTTTGCGTTTTTGCATAACAAAATCTTGGAAATTCGCCTTAAAAACACAGGCCATCGACCAGGAGCGGCACATCCCACTTGCAGAGCAGACGGAATGGGGCAGTACACGGCGTCGCAGCGCAAGAATGTGAGGATCCTGCTGGTGGGCGACGCCGGAGTGGGCAAGACGTCGCTGATTCTGTCGCTGGTCAGTGAGGAATACCCGGAGGAGGTGCCGCCCCGAGCGGAGGAGATCACCATTCCGGCGAACGTGACGCCCGAACAGGTCCCGACCAGCATCGTTGACTTCTCGGCGGTGGAGCAATCGGAGGATGCGCTGGCCGCCGAGATTAACAAGGCGCACGTGGTGTGCATAGTGTATGCCGTGGATGACGACGACTCTCTGGACAGGATTACCTCCCACTGGCTGCCCCTGGTTCGTGCCAAGTGCAATCCCTCGCTGGACGGCGAGGGGGATGCCGAGGCGACGGAGGCGGAAGGCGACGCCTCGAGGGATCCCCTTCGCAAGCCCATCGTTCTGGTGGGCAACAAGATCGACCTGATCGAGTACTCCACCATGGACAGCGTGCTGGCCATCATGGAGGACTACCCCGAGATCGAGAGCTGCGTGGAGTGCTCGGCCAAGACGCTGCACAACATCTCCGAGATGTTTTACTACGCCCAGAAGGCGGTGCTCCACCCGACTTCGCCGCTGTACATGATGGAGGAGCAGGAGGTGGGTCTGAATATAATGCTTGCTTAGCTTTATCTTAAATCCTTATCCCCATCAGCTCACATCCGCTTGCAAGAAGTCGCTGGTGCGCATCTTCAAGATCTGCGACATCGACGGGGATAATCTGCTCAACGACTACGAGCTGAATCTTTTCCAGCGGCGTTGCTTTAATACCCCCCTGCAGCCGCAGATCCTGGACGAGGTGAAGGCCGTGATACAAAAGAACGTGCCCGATGGCATCTACAACGATGCGGTCACTTTGAAGGGCTTCCTCTTCCTGCACTGCCTGTTCATTCAGCGCGGCAGGAACGAGACCACCTGGGCGGTGTTGCGTCGCTTTGGCTACAACGACCAGTTGGAGATGTGCCAGGAGTATCTGAGGCCACCGCTGAAAATACCGCCGGGCAGCAGCACAGAACTCTCGCACCGGGGACAGCAGTTCCTCATCGCCGTTTTCGAGCGCTACGATCGCGATGGTGACGGCGCCCTGTCGCCGGAGGAGCACAAGATGCTATTCAGCACTTGCCCGGCTTCACCGTGGTCCTACTCCACGGATATACGCAAATCCTGCCCAATTAACGAGACCACGGGATGGGTTACCCTGCACGGATGGCTCTGCCGCTGGACGCTGATGACGCTGATTGATGTTGTGAAGACCATGGAGTATCTGGCCTATTTGGGCTTCAATGTCCACGAGAATGACAGCCAGTTGGCGGCCATTCACGTGACACGTGAGCGTCGCATCGATTTGGCCAAGCGCCAAAGCAGCCGTTCCGTTTACAAGTGCCATGTGATTGGCCCCAAAGGTTCCGGAAAGACTGGAATGTGCCGGGGCTTTTTGGTCGAGGACATGCACAAGCTAATCGGCAAGGAGTTCAAAACGAATGTGGTTCACTGCATCAACTCGGTGCAGGTGTATGGCCAGGAGAAGCACCTCATCCTGCGCGACATCGATGTGCGGCACGCCCTCGATCCCCTCCAGCCGCAGGAGGTTAACTGCGATGTGGCCTGCCTAGTCTACGACTCTTCAAATCCCCGCTCCTTTGAGTACGTGGCCCGTATCTACATCAAGTATTATGCGGAGAGCAAGATCCCAGTGATGATAGTCGGGACCAAGTGCGACATGGACGAGCGCCGCCAGGACTACCTGATGCAGCCGTCGGAGTTCTGCGACAAGTACAAGCTGCTGCCGCCGCACCTGTTCAGCCTGAAGACCAACAAGAAAGAACTGTATACCAAGCTGGCAACCATGGCGGCTTTTCCGTGAGTACCACGCCTTTTGGGATGCTAATACATTTAGCTTAGAGCAGGGTTCGGAAAATAAGACACTGTGTAAAAAACTTGTGTTATTAACATGTTAAATGTTCAATATAAGTTATTGACATGTGTGTAAAAAATTGTAGCTTACATATGTTAGAAAGATAAATAACACACAGGTTATTTGTGTTATTTACACGACGTGTGATTAACACGACATGTTTTTTACACAACGTGTTTTTAACACAATGAGTTTTTGACATTAAAACGTCAGAAATATGTGTTGAACTGAAAAGTTCACGGTTTTCTTTGGTTGAAAAAATTCATTCGTCATGTTCCCTTCGAAAATGTAATTTTCATTTGTGTTGAAGACAGAGTGTGAAAAAACACGTCGTGTTAATAACACATTGTGTAAAAAACACAAGTGAGCTGTGTGTGTCAACAATTATTTTTCACATTTCAACACTTTTGTTTTTGACACATATGTCAAAAACTTTGCTCACACTGTAAAATACAATTTTACATGTTTTTAACATGTGTGTTAAATTCCGAACCCTGGCTTAGAGCGGTGAAATACTTTTCGAAAGGGTTAATTAACATTTAAAAGTATTTCCCCGCCTCGCTATAGTTTTAGAAATGCATCTAACATTCGGGATTAATGGTTACTTATCTTATCTTCTCTTCTTCCCCTTTTTTGTGTGATGGTTGGTGTCTGTTTTTCTGTGTTGTTTGATGTTTGTGCACGTCGATGGCTTCGCGGATTTGCAGGCGCTTCCAGGCGGCCTGGATACTGTTCTACAAGCACAGGTTGGTACAGCTGTGGGAGTCGGCGTAAGTGTTACCATTCAAACTGAACTCGTTACTAATGTCAGCCTATCTATCTATTTGTTGTTGTTCCATGAGGCGCACAGTTCCCCATCCATAACCGCTTGATTAACGTGGTGTGCGGCAGTATCCTGTAGTCCTTAGCTTTACCTTTTACTATGCCTTTTTTGAAAAACCTTTCTCTGAAACAAAAAACTAATCCTGTGATCTTTCTCATCCACATGCAGCCACCTGAGGCAATTTGGCCTGATGACAGAGGATCCCAAGCTGTGGTGGAAGGCGGGACTGGGCGTGGCCGCGGCTACCATGCTGGGTTTTATAGTGCTGAAGACAATTAGTGCTGCCGGCGCGCACTCGCGCTAGAAGATGGAACGCTTTCAAGAACACAGACACGCGTTAATGTTTAACAAATTCATGTAACTTATTAATTACTTCTTTGCTTGCTACTGTAAATCCAAATTGATTGTTACGAAAACGAAAAACAATGAAAAGGGACACACGCCGATGTTCTCATTCCTGGCATGTAAATACACTCGCCAAGTGCACTAGCAGGAATTTGGCAGGACATATGTCATGGTAGTGTGTTCAATGGATTACGGACTATGGACTATCGAGCACATTGTGTACGTTGCATTTCTAATCGTATATAACCCTAACTTAAACCATGTACTCTCTGATAAGTCAAATAAGTTATTGTTACCATCATAATCGAGTAACCCCCAACCAAACAAACGATATCGTGCATAGCTGATAGCTGACTGGGTTCTATATAAATCAATATATACTACACCTAGAGAATCGCACTTTTGTAAATACGCGCAAAGCCCCTAGTATGAGCAATAAATCTATCTGCATGTGTGGATTTAAATATAGCGAACTTTAATTGCATATAATATCCTATTGTTTTCATTTACAGAACATCTCATTTAATAAAAAAGTAGCAAATAAGTTTTAATAATAATTTATCTTACTATAATCGAGGAGTCAGCGGAGGACTCTTTCTCGTCGAGGTCTCAATTCATACAGAAAATACTATTTAAATCCTACTTTTGTATTCCATTGATCGCCGCTGCATTTGCAGAAGCAGGCGACATGCAGTTACCATCGGGATATCGCTTCTGGAACTGCGTGATTAGCTCGGGATCTACGAGTCGTATGCCATCTAGTTGGTTCCCCAGCGTTATCCAGTTTGGCTGGATATTGTGTGGCCGTCCGAAGAGCTCGATCTTGCGGGTTCCCGGACTGAGACGCTCGATTATCCCGTAGATCTCGTCCGGCTTGTGCGAGGTGGCCCGCACCTCCGCCACGATGACGTCGCAGTCGAGGCCCCGGTTTAGGTTGGTCGGATTGCCCTTCATGCCCACCAGGCAGTGCTCCTTGCCGTGATTCAGCCAGTGACCAGTGCGCCCCGTGCGGATGATCCGCTGCAGCTGGTTGGTCTTCACCCAGATGAGTTCGTCGACGCGCTCGTAGCCCCAAAGCTTCAAGCAATCGCGCCCGAGCTCCATTGCCCTCCCAGTGACCCACAGGAAGATCAGGCCGTCATCCTGCAGGGCCGGCACACCCAGAGCTCTCATCTCATCATCGGACATTGTACCATAGGGCAGTTCCATGTGGATATCCCAGGGGGGATCGGCCATCACGACGGCAAACTTTCCGAGAACCGTCATGTCCAGGAAGCGCAAATCGCACTGGATCCATTGCGGTGGGTACAACGTGCAGCTGGAATCCACACTCCGTTTGAGGCTCAACTTGGTCTTCACATCCGTCGGCTTGTTGGTGTTTATGTGGGGAAGAGTGTCTACCTCGTAGTGAACGTACTTGCAGGTGGCCATGTGGAAGCAGGTGTTCAGGAAGCTGCAGTCGCCCAGCGACTCGTCCGTGTGCGCCTGGATGATCTTCTTGAAGTGGAGTTTGGTGCACTTGTCGGTGGTCTCGCCGCTGCTGCAGGTGTCGCTGCCATCGGTGGACTCCTGCGACTCGGCCTCGCAATTGGTGATGGTTTCTGGTATGATCTCTCCATCCTCCGCGACAGGTTCTTTCTTGGGTAGTTTTTCCGACTCCTCTGCATCCTTCTCGTCCCTTCGCTCCTGCTTCTTCTTGGCCGCCATCTCCGCGGTGGCCTGCTGGGCCTTTAGGCACTCCACCTTGGTGCCATGGGAGCAAAACTCCATCACCTGCGCTCCGCCGTGCGACTTGAACTTCTCCGCCACCGAACGCTCCTTGGCCGTGGGTTTGGTGAGCAGCTCGAGGATCTCCTCGCCCACCTGCTTGCTCTGCTTTTCGCGGGTGGAGGGCATGGATAGGAGCATCATGATGTCGTCGGGGGCGTCCAGGCTGGTGGATTCCTTCCGAGCGGTTGAGTCTAGTTTCAGGGTCTTCTCCTGCGGCTGCTCGCCATCGTCGATTTCCACTGGTAAAGCAATGTGTTCTAAATTAGTATGCCATGAAATTTCGCATTTGTTTAATTCAATTCTATGTGAAATTAAATGTTTTTATAATTCATTTCGAATTGAATGAATGAATAAATAATTTTTATGAATTTTTTGAATTTTTCAGATTATTTTTGTGTTTTCTTTTAGAACAAAAAGTGGAAAAATTTCAACAAATCAATGTTAACTGCTTAGTAAATAAAATTCAGGCAGATTTAATCACAAAATGATGGGGCTTTCTTCTTCAAAAGAAATTATCGTTTGAATTATTTTGGAATTCATGCCATTCATTCATTCAATTCTATTAAACTCAAAATTCAAATTCATTCAATTCTATTAAACTCAAAAATTCAAAATAATGCTTTTCATGCAGGGCTCTAGTTCTAATGAGTTTTTAAACTTAAAATGGAGAGACTTCAACCCACACTTTCTCTTGGCCTCCTCCTCCTTCTGCTGACAAGAGTCGTTGGTGTCCTCCAGGATCTCCTTCAGCTCCTTGGGCTGCACCGAGATGATCTCGCAGCCGGCCTCCGTGCCAATGGTCACGTTCCGGATGACAATGGCCCCCTGGTTGGCCAGCTTGCCCAGGATGAAGTTGACCATCTCCAGGCTGCTGCCGGCTATCTTCTCCACCACCTGCGTGGACACGATGGGCAGGGCCAGGGAGCAGGAGCTCAGCGTCTGCAGCACCTCCTTCTGCACCTCCAAGTCGGCCTCCACTGAAAGATTTAAAGAGATTTATGGGCGCTCCAACTTGTTGCCTTCGCTTGAGCAGCTCACCTAGTTCCTTCTTGGGATTCGTGAGGTCCTCCTGTATGTCCGAGAGGATCTCGATGCGCTCCTTCTTGCGCTTCTCCAGCTTCTCGCGGAGCGTATTCCGCTTCGTCTTCAGCGACTTTATGTCCCAAGCATCTGCCATTGTTTATAAATAAATCGCCGGCGGTAGGTAAACAAAGTAAATTTTTTTCAATGCTGGCAGTGTGGCTGTAACACTACATAAAAATACTGCAACGGCCTTTCGGTTTAGTATTTTGCTGTTTGGTATTTTACTTACGCCTTACGTTAAACCCTTACGTATTTTTCGAGACCCCTTGCACTGCACGCTCTCGCTATCTCGCTCTCTGACCATAAAAACATAAATGACACTTACGTATTACGTATAATTAACTCTTACGTTTACGTAATGACCCTTACGTTTTTGACTACGTTGCCAATTCGATAAATGCCGCCATTTTTAGCCCCTTTTTTTCGGCGGTATTTTCATGGTATTTTTCGAACCCCCTCGCACAGCCACACTGCACCGCTCCCCAATTTGTTGTTGTTTTTGCCCCAAACGGAAGCTGCGCCGTCGCTGCTCCGCCGCAATTTGCCCGACAAAACGTGCCCCAAACGCATAAATAATTGATGAAGACCGCTTTAAACGTAAATAATAATCAAATATCTAATTCAGTGATTGAAACGCGGGGAAAACGCGCGCGAGTGCCGAAAAGAGAGAGAGAGAGCGAAAATTTCTTTTTTGTTTATGCGCGCCAGAGAGAGAGAGAGAGCCAAGCATAAGTGCGCACTCACACAGACGAGTGGGGATTTGCGAAAATCGAGTGGAGCAGTGTGTGTGTGTGCGCTTAGCATTTGCACATAGTGTTTTTGTTGGGGCCCCAAAAAGAGAGAGAGAGGGAGCGCTGAACTGGGGCCAGATTTATAACGCGACATTCGCACTTTTACCCTGGAGCATGACGGTTCTCTCGGTTCTTTCGCGGCACTTTCGACGCGACCCAAAGCTGCAGGAGCAGCCCCAGCAGCAGCTTCCGATTTCGATTCCGATCCGATTCTAGCTTCCGATTGCCCAGCTGCCGAGTCCGAGTCTCCAACTAATTCGCAACAGATTCGCCAGATTCGCGTATATATCCATTGATTCGATTCCGTGCGAGTGCAATTGCAGCGCGCCCCTCTCGAAAAACACACCCCCCCGTTCGTTTTTCACTGTGTATACTACAGATTTTCGCTTCTTTTTTACGAAGGCGGCGGCACGCCCTTCCCCAACGTGCGTGCGTGTGTGTGTGCATATGTATTGGCGGGCTAACGAAAAATAAATACAAAGAAAATCATATACAAATCGTAGATCGCAAAAACTTTCGAAATATTGAATTGTGAAAACTATCAGACAAAAATTATGTGCCTGCTCGAGATATTCAACCCAGTTGGCAACCGAATAATGTGCAACAAAAGTACATAGACAGCAGTCCAAGAAAAACACCTCGAACACGAAAAAAGGCCCTTTGAAAAGCAGCAGCAGCAGCAGAAACACCATGAAGATGGTCGATAAGTCGTCCAAGCTGGTGGATAAATTTGCCGTTATCAGCGGCACCGGCGGCAGCGGCACCGCAGGAGGAGCACTCGGAATGCCAGGAGGCGGAGGAGGTTCCCTCGGCGGCGGAGGAATCTCGGGCCCAACGGGATTGTCTGGAATTTCCGGAGGATCCACTGTCCAAAAGCCCGTGCCCATGAAGCTATTCGCCGCCTGGGAGGTGGACCGAACGCCACCCAACTGCATCCCAAGGTGAGTGTAAACAAATTTGAAATACCACATATGCACTACATACATTATTATGCGACGGAGGGATTGTGAAAACAAGGCAGCAACTTGCCAATTTTATTTTTTTTTCTCTTGCTATTTATAGTGCGAAAAACAAAAACAAAAGCTACAACTGAGGTAACAAGAGTGGTAACTGTTATTTAACTAGTCTACGGCATAACAATTTTTAGTATACCTAGTATATAAAGCCTTCAACCTAAAAAAACAGCTGCTAGGTTCAAGTGAAAATATTAAACATGGTCTTTAAATAGATATAGAATTATATAGTAGATGCATAAACAGCCCTTATAAACTTAAACTTAACTTATTTGTATGTTATTTTAGGAAAGTTAAAAACTTGTTTCTAATAAATTTTCAAATACTATTAAAACCATGGGGTATATTATTAGTGTTACCTTTAAAGGTCATGCAATTCTGATATCTTTTAAGAGATAATACAAATCAGCAGTTTGTTTACAGCTTATTGTTGATTTTCTGCCAATTTGCTTTCGTGCTGGCTTTCCGTTCGATTGGCTTTTGTTTTCTTCCTATTTTTAGTTAACAAAAGCAACAACTGCCGCTAACTGTTATTTAACAGGCTTTGTTGTTGCCGCTGGCAAAGCTTTTATTTATTTGCCTCGGCCCAAGAAATCGAAAAAGTTTTAAAGTGTATAATGGAATATATTGACGTTTTGTACAAAAAAAACTAATCGATTTTGTGGCTTTATGAACATGACCCTCTTTAAAAAGTGGCAAATCAGCCTTACGCGGCGAGGAATATATAATAACATATAATCTAAGTTTCCAGGAATAGATTAAAAAGGTTTACGACCTCAACCCCTCTGATGAAATATGCAGTAAAAAACAATGCCAAACAAGACATTTGACCGTGATAGTAAATCTGATCGCAATTAAATCCCAACCTAACCCAATATTATGTTGGAGATAAGACTTTAAGTTTTAAATTATTTAAAGGCCCCTACAAAATTATGATAATTTTAATTTTGGAATGGTTAGTTGCGTTCGCAACTTGTTGTTTTAGTATAGAACTTAAGATCAAAGGGGATTTTTGCAATGAATGTAATAGTTAGAATTGACAGACTTTTTTTTTGAGGTCTAATATTTTGTATTCTCACGAAATTCGAATGCTTTTTAAAGAATTTATTACCCCAAAAAATACTAATGTATTCATAAATTATAGAAATATTTTTTTCGCAATCTCTGAATATGAGCCATTATCTTTGAATGACGATCAGGCAAATAAACCCGTTTGTTTTTGCCCGCTTTCTTTCATTCCACACGTCTTGTGCCATGCCTTTGTCCCAGTAACCCCGAACTGAACCCCGAAATGAGTAATGCCATCTTGGTTCTTTGAGGTTCTTCTGGTCTGGCTGATAAGAATTAGCGGCTTATTTGCATGCGGATGAGTCAGACTTTGTCCAATTTGGCTCAGCTGTTGACTCTGGACAAAGATTAATCTATAATTGGGACAGACACCCCGCTGCGTCGCAGAAATTAAAAATTAGGCAAGGCGTATTTTTAATCGCTTTTGTGTATTTTAAGAGCTCTCAAGGCGATAAACTGGTCAAGTAGGAAGGGCGGAAGGCATTAAAATCTAAATAGTCAAGGGCCTTGGACAAACGCCCACTCCCAAAGAAAGTTTAAGCAAGTAAACAGTGGGAAAATAATATTTTTAAAATATAAATACTTAGGTTAGGATGTCATAAAAATGGTTCTTATCAAGGGATTAAGATACGGTCACCCTGAAATTAGTTGTTGGTTTTTTATTATTATTATTAAATAATGGAACCTTTTTTCTGATATTTAAGTTGAGTTTTTTGCTGTGTATAAGGACCATCAGCCGCCTGGAAAATATTTACTAAATTTTTGATGGCCAAGGCCATCTTTTCGCTCCTCACACTTTTTTTGGTGGCTCGTTTTTGTTTGTTGAAAGGTCATAAACCGCTGCTGCTGCCGCCTCTGTTTTATCTTTTGGGATACATTTTGAGATTTGGGGTTCGAGTTTGAGTTTTCCGTCTTTGTTTTGCTTGGTTTTTTGTTTGTTTATAATTATGCGCTCGCTTGGCTGGCTTATAATTAGAAACTGAAACTGAAGCTAAGCAAGCAAATTGGGAATTTTTCAGTCACCAACTTTGAACTCTTCGACCGAGAAAAAAGGCGGGAGGAGGAGACCAAACTTTCACCAGGGCCTAAAAGCCAGTAAATTTTCCCCTTGGCTAATTAAAAATGTCATTTTGGCTAATTGCAGATGAAAGTAAATATAATTTATAGTTACATATGCTTGGCACCATGTGTCGTCACATTTCCTATTTCCCTGTTGTTTCCCTCTGGCTGGGCAAATTGTATTACTTTTATATGTGTTGATTTTATCTACGCCCGAATGGGGCACGTAGAGCATATCCAGACTTTGATTAGGGCTCACGCGGCATTAGCGCAAGTTTTCCTTGCGGTTTTCCAGCCGTACGTGACCCGTCTGATCTTTCTGAACCGGCTGAACCACCGGCTGATTCATCGGACTCCGCTTGACCCGAGCAGAAGAGCAATCAAATTCAAATCAAATCAGAAAAGAAGATAGAAAAAGGGCAAAAAAGGGGGCCACACACATACTCAATGTCAGGGTCTCTGAAATGCATTCAAGTTCGAGGCGTAGCAAATTATCCTTGGCAAAGTTTCTATATGCTGTGTATCTCGTTTTAATTTGCCTGATTTGTCTGAGGATGCGACTGAGGGGTTGCGGAAAACTTGCCTGCCAAGACAAAACTGCCTTGCTGTTCATTTACTTTCATGGATGATACGAATGCGAATACGAATACGAGTAAATGAAACTTTTTCCATTCTGATTAACAATTCGTTTGGAGAAGGGGAGGTGAATCACATTATCCTTATCTTCTCTTATGCGCAGCCATTCATTTAATATTCCCATAAAACTAAGGGGCTTTTGTACTCATTTAATTGGCATGATTCTTAATGCTTGAATTTAATGCTTGGATTAAATTTGAAAGCGTTATAATTTTAAGATCTTATCTGAGAAACCTATAAATTTATGTTAAGTACTCGCTACATTAGATGTGTAAAATTTGAAAACTGAATTTAAAACGAAATGGATCTCACGTTTTGGAGTTCTTAAGATAAGTGTTTGACTCTCCAAAAAATATACATTTTTATTTTTAAGTTCTTATCTGAGAAACCTAACTCGTTACATTGAATGTGTGATTTTGGAAAAATGAATTTGAAAGAAATTATATGGTTCACACGTTTTGAAGTTATTAAGATAAGTATGAGGTTCTCCAAAAAATATAAATTTTTATCAGGGTCCCTTTCCATTCCCCCTTTTTTTTGTTAAATTTGTTTAAGGCACCCTGCACGTTTTATTATTTGGAGTGCCTTATCAGCAAAGGACACTTCTCCCCCTTTTTTCTCTTTTTGAAAAACATTTTCCAAACTGTTTGCTTGGCTTATCGGTAGAGAAAACAAATCATAAAACTGGAGTGGCACTAATCCTCTGTCCCCCCGCTTATCTACAATTTATTTTCGCTTGCGCAGTTGTTAATTTCATTGGTTACCTGAAAATTGACTTGCATTTTCAGCCATTTACAAGTAATTTAGTTGGTTGCGGCCGGCGTACGCAATAAAAATGCACTTGGGATAGGTTCGGTTAATTTGATGTGTTGTTTGTGTGTTGCCTGTGTTATTTGCTATTTGCGGTTCGCTTCGATTTATTTTTACAACAGGAAATTTCATGTTTTTCATGTTCCCAAGTGGAAGTGGAACACGTCGAATGATGGATTGATACCGCTCCATTATGCGACTCTTTTTGCTCAGGTTCGATATAATGGTATTTTAAGTGTCGGGCTCTTTGTTTATAAATAAACGTGAAATGCTCTGTGGTATTTCGATTTGTGATAAACATTCAGCAATGTTTTCCTCATAGCTTTCGTGTAAATTTTAAACTGCGCCAATGTTTTTACTACAAAATTAATTTAAAGGCAACCAAAATAGCCAAAGACGAAATGCTGTGATGCTGTGACATATTTCCCAGATTCAATTTGTATCTACAGCAGCCGATCATGCCAGCTGCTAAAGGAGAGGTGGGTAAGGGAGGGGGTATCTGTATCTATAAGTAGAATTTATAGCGCGACAAGCGACAGCAGCAGTTGGCTGAATTTTTTGTTTCTTTTTTTTTCGCTGTAGCGCGTGTTGCCCACGAAAAGTTAGCCTTGAACTTTTTTTCTCTTTTCGTTCTTTTTTATTTTGCACGAACCCAAACAATATCTAGAGCATCATCACATCATCACAGCATCACATGTATCTTTTCGTGTGTATCTGTATCTGATTCTCATTTTCATTCTGTACCTGCATCTGCATTTACATCAGTGTCTGTGCTTTTGACAAATTGAATTCTGTTCCGTTGGCTATTTCACTGCATTCAGTGGTAATATTTTTTATCTTTATTGTTTTTTTCGAAATGTTATGTCAACGGAATTTTTCGCTCTTTGTTTGAAGGGAATTCGAAAGCTTAGCTAGAGGATATCCTTATAAAAATATTTGAAAAAAGTTAAAAACCGAAATAATAACCAAAAATATATTTAAATAATTTTTTAAGAATTAAAAAAATTTATTTTAATTGTTTAAATATTACAAATATACTAAATTATTTTGTATATTTTTTACAATTTTTAAAGTGTTAAAATAATGGTTGATTTTATCTACGATATTTTAAATTGTATAAAAACTCTTTTAAAATGTTAACTCCATTATTAATAAAGCATTTTATTGATTGGCCTTATAGATCCTTTAACGAATATACCCCATTAGCTGCTACCTTTTCCAGGGTATACCAATTTATGCTGATAGCTTTTCAAATTGATTCTGGGTGCAATTTTAATGGGATTTACTTTATTCTGCTGCCAGATCTGCTGCTGTTGTTGCTTCTCCGTTTTTCCGCTCTCGCAAAGCCAAAGCCA